AAATGTTCGCTGTGCTCGCTCTGGCCGCTCTGTTCAAAGTGACCAGTGCACCAGGTAAATTACCCTACATTCAACACTAGGTATTCTATACATAGACAATACGTACTGGACAAACAGGTTTACAACACATTACATCACATCCGCTCAGTACCTTACTCGCATTTACGCGTGCTATTTCCGCGCGCGCGCGCTAAAAGTTTTGCCGCAATGCGTGACGTACAAAATTACACGGAAGGCTGATTTCCGTTACATACAAACGCGTATAGCTAAATACCACAAATATATTAAAAGTGATAATGACAAATAATGACGCTACTACAAAAATTCTTCTTAAAGCTTGTTTAATGTGGTAAGATAACAGAAAATATCGTTTTCGTCAAATAATGCTGAAAGTGCAACTTCTAAGGCTTTTTTTTCTGGATCATCATAATGTACGTGTGATTGAGGGTCGCATAAAATTGTTAACAGTTACTATGTAATTATGTTGCTTGACTAAGGCTGTCTTCATCTAATTTACTCAGTATTACTATCTATAACCGAAACCCAAATAACTGAGCCATAGTGTAAATTACAGATACAGAGTTCATAACATATCATCAAAAATAATAATTCAGTTTAATTTTTAAAGACTTTCGTACATCATTTGAAATATAAAAAAAATATATAAAGTGTCGTACTTTTGATAAACTGCCAGAAGTTTTTCCGTTAATTTATGTGTCTATTTTTGTTTCTATGACGTAGCACTTGGATTATTTCAAACTAGATGCTGTATTTAACGCCACTGGGATCACATGTTGTGCAAGGGTGGATGTGGGTAAACGTTGTGTATACATTAATGAATGTTTGTGTAAACATACTTACAATGTTTGCCAAAGTGATCCAAGTATTTACTTTCGGAAGACCACAATTTGTCGAAGAGTATTCATACCGATAAAGCATTCTGACCCAATAGATCATTGTATGTCGAAGTGTTCCACTGCTCAGGAAGATGACGTCTGGTATGAATACAAGCGTTACCAATCTGATCATCTATAAACTGATCATAAGTGTTGCCACGAGAAACAGATGACAAATGACATGATAATGAGTGTTGACACAGAAAACTGATGACAAATGACATGCTAATTAGTGTTGACACAGAAAACTGATGACAAATGACATGATAATGAGTGTTGACACAGAAAACTGATGACAAAGGACATGATAATGAGTGTTGACACAGAAAACTGATGACAAAGGACATGCTAATTAGTGTTGACACAGAAAACTGATGACAAATGACATGATAATGAGTGTTGACACAGAAAACTGATGACAAAGGACATGATAATGAGTGTTGACACAGAAAACTGATGACAAAGGACATGCTAATTAGTGTTGACACAGAAAACTGATGACAAATGACATGCTAATTAGTGTTGAGACTGCAAAGTGATGACAACTGACATAATAATTAGTGTTGAGACAGAAAACTGATGACAAAGGACATGCTAATTAGTGTTGACACAGAAAACTGATGACAAAGGACATGTTAATTAGTGTTGACACAGAAAACTGATGACAACTGACATGATAATGAGTGTTGACACAGAAAACTGATGACAACTATGAGTGTTGACACAGAAAACTGATGACAACTATGAGTGTTGACACAGAAAACTGATGACAAAGGACATGCTAATGAGTGTTGACACAGAAAACTGATGACAAAGGACATGATAATGAGTGTTGACAAAGAAAACTGATGACAAAGGACATGCTAATTATTGATGACACAGAAAACTGATGACAAATGACATGATAATGAGTGTTGACACAAAAACTGATGACAACTGACATGATAATAAGTGTTGACACAGAAAAGTGATGACAACTGACATGATAATGAGTGTTGACACAGAAAACTGATGACAAATGACATGATAATGAGGGTTGACACAGAAAACCGATGACAAATGACATGATAATGAGAGTGGACATAGAAAACTGATGACAAAGGACATGCTAATTAGTGTTGAGACAGAAAACTGATGACAAAGGACATGCTAATTAGTGTTGACACAGAAAACTGATTACAAAGGACATGATAATGAGAGTTGACATAGAAAACTGATGACAAAGGACATGCTTATTAGTGTTGAGACAGTAAACTGATGACAAATGACATGATAATGAGTGTTGACACAGAAAACTCATGACAACTAACATGATAATGAGTGTTGACACAGAAAGCTGATGACAACTGACATAATAATTAGTGTTGACACATAAAACTGATGACAAATGACAATGATGAGTGTTGACACAGAAAAATGATGACAAATGACATGATAATGAGTGCTGACACAGAAAACTGATGACAAAGGACATGCAAATTAGTGTTGACACAGAAAACTGATGACAAATCACAATGATGAGTGTTGACACAGAAAACTGATGACAAATGACAGTGATGAGTGTTGACACAGAAAACTGATGACAAAGGACATGTTAATTAGTGTTGAGACAGAAAACTAATGACAAAGGACATGCTAATTAGTGTTGACACAGAAAACTTATGACAATGACACGATAATGAGTGTTGACACAGAAAACTGATGACAAATGACATGATAATGAGTGTTGACACAGAAAACTGATGACAAATGACATGATAATGAGTGCTGACACAGAAAACTGATGACAAAGGACATGCAAATTAGTGTTGACACAGAAAACTGATGACAAAGGACATGCTAATTAGTGTTGAGACAGTAAACTGATGACAAATGACATGATAATGAGTGTTGACACAGAAAACTGATGACAACTGACATAATAATGAGTTTTGACACAGAAAACTGATGACAACTGACATGATAATTAGTGTTGACAAAGATAACTGATGACAAATGACAAGATAATGAGTGTTGACACAGATACTGATGACAACTGACATGATAATGAGTGTTGAAACAGAAAACTGATGACAACTGACATGATAATGAGTGTTGACACAGAAAACTGATGACAACAAACATGACAATTAGTGTTGACACAGAAAACTGATGACAAAAGAAATGCTTATTAGTGTTGACACTGAAAACTGATGACAGAAAACTGATGACAACTGACATAATAATGAGTTTTATGACAAATGACATGATAATGAGTGTTGACACAGAAAACTGATGACAAAGGACATGCTAATTAGTGTTGACACAGAAAACTGATGACAACTGACATGATAATTAGTGTTGACACGGAAAAGTGAGGAAAACTGACGTGATAATCAGTGTTGACACAGAAAACTGATGACAAAGGACATGTTAATTAGTGTTGACACAGAAAACTGATGACAAAAGACATGTTAATTAGTGTTGAGACAGAAAACTAATGACAAAGGACATGCTAATTAGTGTTGACGCGGCAAAGTGATGACAACTGACATAATAATTAGTGTTGACACAGAAAACTGATGACAAATGACAATGATGAGTGTTGACACAGAAAACTGATGACAACTGACATGATAATGAGTGTTGGCACAGAAAACTGATGACAAAGGACATGTTAATTAGTGTTAAGACAGAAAAATGATGACAAAGGACATGCTAATTAGTGTTGACACAGAAAACTTATGAGAATGACACAATAATGAGTGTTGACACAGAAAACTGATGACAAATGACAATGATGAGTGTTGACACAGAAAACTGATGACAACTGACATGATAATGAGTGTTGGCACAGAAAACTGATGACAAAGGACATGTTAATTAGTGTTAAGACAGAAAAATGATGACAAAGGACATGCTAATTAGTGTTGAGACAGTAAAATGAAGACAAATGACATGATAATGAGTGTTGACACAGAAAACTGATGACAACTGACATGCTAATTAGTGTTAAGGCAGTAAACTGATGACAAATGACATGATAATGAGTGTTGACACAGAAAACTAATGACAAAGGACATGCTAATGAGTGTTGACACAGAACACTGATGACAATGACACGATAATGAGTGTTGAAACAGAAAACTAATGACAACTGACATGATAATGAGTGTTGACACGGAAAACTGATGACAACTGACATGATAATTAGTGTTGACATAGAAAACTGATGACAAAGGATATGGCAATTAGTGTTGTGACAAAAAACTGATGACAAATGACATGATTATTAGTGTTGACACAGAAAACCGATGACAAATGACATGATAATGAGTGTTGACACGGAAAACTGATGACAACTGACATGCTAATTAGTGTTGACACAGAAAACTGATGACAACTGACATGATAATTAGTGTTGACATAGAAAACTGATGACAAAGGACATGACAATTAGTGTTGTGACAAAGAACTGATGACAATGACAAATGACACGATAATGAGTGTTGACATAGAAAACTGATGACAAAGGACAATGATGAGTGTTGACACAGAAAACTGATGACAATGACAAATGACACGATAATGAGTGTTGACACAGAAAACTGATGACAAGTGACAATGATGAGTGTTGACAGAGAAAACTGATGACAAATGATATGATAATGAGTGTTGACACAGAAAACTGATGACAAATGACATGATAATGAGTGTTGACACAGAAAACTGATGACAAATGACAGTGATGAGTGTTGACACAGAAAACTGATGACAAATGACATGCCAATTAGTGTTGAGACAAAAAACTGATGACAAATGACATGATAATGAGTGTTGACACAGAAAACTGATGACAAATGACCTCAGAAAACTGATGACAAATGACAGTGATGAGTGTTGACACAGGAAACTGATGACAAATGACATGCTGATTAGTGTTGACAACAAAGGACATGTTAATTAATGTTGAGACAAAAAACTGATGACAAATGACAGTGATGAGTGTTGTCACAGAAAACTGATGACAACAGACATGATAATGAGTGTTGACACGGAAAACCGATATGATAATGAGTGTTGACACGGAAAACTGATGACACCTCACATGATAATTAGTGTTGACACAGAAAACTGATGACAAATGACATGCTGATTAGTGTTGACACAGAAAACTGATAACAAAGGACATGCTCATTAGTGTTGAGACAGAAAACTGATGGCAAAGGACATGCTAATAAGTGTTGACACAGAAAACTGATGACAAATGACCTGATAATGAGTGTTGTCACGAGAAAACTGATGACAAATGACATGATAATGAGTGTTGACACAGAAAACTGATGACAAAGGACATGTTAATTAGTGTTGAGACAAAAAACTGATGACAAATGACATGATAATGAGTGTTCGACACAGAAAAATGATGCCAACTGACATGATAATGAGTGTTGACACGGAAAACTGATGACAACTGACATGATAATTAGTGTTGACACAGAAAACTGATGACAAATGACATGATAATGAGTGTTGACACAGAAAACTGATGACAACTGACATGATAATGAGTGTTGACACAGAAAACTGATGACAACTGACATAATAATGAGTGTTGACACAGAAAACTGATGACAACTGACATAATAATGAGTGTTGACACAGAAAACTGATGACAACTGACATGATAATTAGTGTTGACACGGAAAACTGATGACAAATGACATGCTAATTAGTGTTGACACAGAAAACTGATAACAAAGGACATGCTCATTAGTGTTGAGACAGAAAACTGATGTCAAAGGACATGCTAATAAGTGTTGACACAGAAAACTGATGAAAAATGACCTGATAATGAGTGTTGTCACGAGAAACTGATGACAGCTAACATGATAATGAGTGTTGAGACAGAAAACTGATGACAAAAGACAATGATGAGTGTTGTAACGAAAAGCTGATGACAAAAAACATGATAATGAGTGTTGATATGCGTAACCGATGACAAATGACATGATGATAGTGAGTGTTGTCACGTGCTATTGATGACAAATGACACAATAATGAGTGTTGTCACGAGAAATTGATGACAGCTGACATGATAATGAGTGTTGTCACGAGAAACTGATGACAGATAATATGATAATGAGTGTTGTCAGGAGAAACTGATGACAGATAATATGATAATGAGTGTTGTCAGGAGAAACTGATGACAGATAATATGATAATGAGTGTTGTCAGGAGAAACTGATGACAGATAATATGATAATGAGTTTTGTCACGAGAAACTGATGACAGATAATATGATAATGAGTGTTGTCACGAGAAACTGATGACAGCTAACATGATATATATTTCTTCTATATATATAATTCTGAACAGATTAGAATTAAACGCTTAATGGTTTAAAGTGAATGTTTAAATAGGCGTTATGGTATTTCAAATAATTAAGCTCCTTTTTATCATTTTTTAAAAATGCAGACAAAAATTTGGTTGCGGTGTTTTGGATCTTTCTTTACAGTACACACATCGTTGTTAGTTATCAGGAAAACTGTTTTCATGGCTCCATCAACACTTCATCTTTGGCATAGGTTAGTCACCATCTACATAGATCTGCTGTAAAATATGGAATGGCTGCACTATATACAACATGAATGAACATTTTGCGGCCTACTGCCTACCTCGATAGTCGATGGGTTACGCTCACTCGTGCTCTCTTTACCCCTGTAATATGTCATGACAACAAAGAAAACTCACTGTACGCCATCGTTTGTATGATACACGAAGACTAGTTTGTTCCTTTGAAAAACCCATAAAACACAAAAGAATATCGCGGCAGCGTAATGGTAAAATGTCATGTACTATAATACAATATATATCTTCAAATTACAGGTATCTGCCTAGCGATTGGTCAGGCTAGATTAACCCGAGACCAATCAAATAGATAGCCGCGTGAATAACCGTGAGCGTTACCGCTGGAGTATCGATGTTTGACCATCAAATTGTGTTGTTAAGTCATCAGCAGTATTTCCATCACTATCTTGATAAGGACAATAAAACACGTGTTACACTTTCATGAAAACCACATGTTTTTTCCATGACTGATTTCCAAACAATTTTAAAGTTGAGAGCTATTGTTGAACGTTTTAGAGACACACTTCTGGATGGTGTAGCATAAAATGATGGTATAACATAAACCAATCCTTTTACCTTCATACTTACCTGTAATTTGTTATTAGATACCGTAATTTGATATCATATATTCAAATAATTGATGTCATCAATTCAAATTAATTATACCACCTACATTAATACGTGATATCACGTGTTGGGATACTGATATTAGTTGGTGTTCTAGATATCACCCTTTAATGTTTGAGGTACTGTGTTCGTGTATAACACCGTTTTGTGATACAATTATTAAAATGTCAACCAGCTTTCCATATGAATACGTAATATCACCCTTCCGAAAACTTGCTAATAGGCGATCTCACAAAATAGAATTCGCAAAGAATTGTTTTCATTCATTCAATCTGACTCTGGATCATTATGACATTTTCTGCGTATGTATTTAGAATATCCCCGGGGGTAAAACCTGTGACAGAAGCTCATAATGAACTGAAAAATACAAGTAGTTGCCAATTAATAAATAATTAACTTTTCCTACTTATTCCATTTCACATTTTACACGATGCCCTCTCCATCATCACATCAGAGACACGTGCAGGCAGCTCCTATAAATAGTTACCGTGCACTGTTATGATATATAACACCAAGAACCTACATGGGCCTATATACGCTACTAAGTAGGTCTGCACTGGAGCTGGTATACATGTCCACCTCAAGCCAAACGCTGGAGCATATCAATCTGATCAAATCGCCATGGCACGAGAACTTTGACCATCCTCTTCGACCTCTTGTAAAACAAGATATAGGGAAATGTTGAACTCTTCAGTTTAGTTGATATAAGGTTATTCGAAGACAGCTGTGAGTCATTCATTACGTCATTTTGACACCGAGCTATTATCTAACTTAGGAAGGGCATCGGAAGCTGTATATCCCCAGCGAGCGGTGCAGCCATGGACTAAAGAAGGTAGGTATATGTTTCTTACTATAGGACAGCAGCCATGGACTAAAGAAGGTAGGTATATGTTACTTACTATAGTACAGCAGCCATGGACTAAAGAAGGTAGGTATATGTTATTTACTATGGTAAAGTGTACTGTCAGAACCCTCGGCAGGGCTTACAGGTCGTAACAATAGCAATGTTTACGATGGACGATGTATTAGGCAGACAGTTTTCTACTTTATCAGTATAAATTCATAGATTACAATTTAACGACTCCTGTCAGTCATGTACCTAATTTTCTTCATCTCATACAATATATTGCAAACACAAGAAAGCTTATGTATATCGTTATATCTTTGTTAGCAATTAGCAGGTTATATAACAATTCACTCTTAAAAGTAAGTATTTCATACATGTGGGAATTTCAGGTTGTGAATCTAAGTTGCGATTATTCATTTAAGCTTTAATTTGAGTGTTCTGTATTTATGGTAAAGATCAGTCAATAACAGTTTTGTATTATTGTTAAGATCATTCTTCGTATGCAAACTTTGAATGTTGTCCATACTACTTGTAGACGGAGATTACAACAGTGTTTTTGTATACTAACTTGTGGACAGCGTATTATTCTTTCACTTTTTATGGGCAACCAATCTATTAAAGGTATACGGTTTTTATATAGATGTTTTTCTCTCCAAAATTTATAATATTCCATGTTTTTTTAATTTGAAATGATTGCTCCAAAACAAGAATATCATTGTTAAATACATGTAGACTTAGATTTCAAAATCAGGCTCCGAACATTCGGAAACAACGAAGTTTCCAGAACTTTGCTAAGAGAATGCAAGTTTAATGAGCCTATAACGAATTCCGGTTGTTGTTTGGAAGTATTAAGTTTTTTTTTAAAGTGGCAGACCAGTGATGGCTTGGCACATTGCCACCAGATAGACAACACAACCCTTAATGTAGGAACTACGTAAATCCGAGCAGGTATTAGTCAGAACCATCAGGTTTGTTTACATAGTAACCGATGTTGAAACGGGATTAAGTCAGCATAGCGCAGTTAAGAAACGTGAAGAGTATATTTTGGCATTTTTACATAAATACGTAATTCTTGTGAGATATATTCATTACCTTCAGAAACGCCATAGAATGCTTAAGTTATACAAAATATATTATCAGCGTTAAAAAGATAATATTGGTTGATTAATTATGACTATGATACCACCATGAAAACCCTACGTGGATGGTGTTTATCTTTTGACATGATGTAAAGCAGAACATTATAACATGTCGATACGTGATGAGATAGCCACCCGTAGCATAAGATTATTTATTTTTTTGCAGGAGAACCAAGTACCTTAGTTGATTGGAAGATGAGTCGTCCAAAACGCCAGCCAGTAAGTCTATATACACATGTAGTCTGTGATAAATCATTAGCGTTTGCACTTGTCACTTTGCCAGTGTTTCTGTCTACATATACAATAATTATAAAACACTATATATGTCTGAAGGATACGGCTCCCAAACCTCTGTGTTACTAATTGGATTACAAAAACCTCTACAAACACTAAAAATAATGTTATCTTCACTTCTGATTTTTTCAATATTACCGCAATGAAAGAAAAACCACATGAAAAACAACATTTCTATAACATTCTCTATTTTAATAGAAAGCAGGTCATTGTGACATACATTATTCACCTATTTAGCTTATCCCTTTTCTGTACATCTGTTTGTTATGTAACGTGAGAAGGTAGTTACCCGAGGCTAACTGTAACCGTGTATCTACTGGTAGACTATCAGTCCCCGAGGCTGACTGTAACCGTGTAAATTATCCGTTAAACGTTATGATATGGTTACACTAGCACATTTCCGTTTTTTCTATAAAAATATCGGAACACAGGATATATGGATTTATATTCCTGTGCCTTGTTATACCACTACTGTGACATAAATAGAAGAAATAGCTGTATTGTGTATTAAATGAATACTTTGTTATGCTTTTGGCATTAGTTTACTAAATTATTATATAAAGTTTGCCATTGCGACTCATACCTGTAATCTACATGTATGTGTATGAAAGGGAAAACATAACCGTATAGGAAGCTACCGACACGTTCATTGATTCAATTTTAATCAATATTCAAGTATAAGCTTAACACGAATTGTTTATACAGAGGTTCCCCGACGATTGGTGCTGGGTTATCATGTTTACCGAGTGTCTTTTACTATTTGAAAATTAACTAACGAGAGTTAGATAAACGTGATAACTAATCATCACGAGTGGAGGGACCTATTTCTGCCATAACATTCGTATTTTATCTGAAAAAAACCCCTAATTTTCCCCCTTGGTGTTTATGATAAGGGAAACAATAGCCATGGAACATTACATCACAATCGAACATGACGTCGAAAAGCATTGTTTCGTGACGTCATAAATCAAAGAGTGACCGATGATAACGCGTCCAGTGTGTTACCCAGTGGGTAAACAAAAATATTTACCAACTCCTAGCAGGTTTAGCCAATGAGTCAAGAGTGAGGAAACCTACAGTGGTTGTGGGAGAAATATGTTTACAGAACTGTATCTGTATCTGTAGAACAACGTTCCTTGGATAATATTGTTTTGTTTTTGATCGAAGCAATACTCTTTCAAGGTGATATTGACATAACCGTCAGAACATCTATTATTCAATTTCTATATTCAATAACAAGGCTAAGGAGAGCGCATAAATGTTGAAAATTGTTAAAAATATATCTCAATAATGAAAATAATCATTTCAAAACATACATTTGTAGGAATTAGCCTTCTATGGTATCTTATTAACAAATTAAGTTGATATTATAGCAGGTACAGTATTTGTGAAATTTCTCACTTTAATTGTTGCACAGGTGCCGTTCGCCAAATCGTTTGAGAAGGCGGGAAAGAAATATGGATTTAACAGAGACAAAGTGAGAGGTAAGAGGTGAATGATGACGTCATAAGTTTCTTTAATTTTAACACTTTGCGTGCTTCAGATTATCTAATCACTTCTCGATTTACGGGAAATATGCCACAAAAATTTGAAAAGACAGCGAGTTGGGCATATCGCGTACGAGTTATTAAAACTTCATATTCACGAAATTGAATTAACTTTTCTATTCTCTTGCGAAATCACAATTATATTTGCCAATATTTCTTAAAACGTCATGAATTCATAAAATCAAGATCTATTCGCGAAACCAAATATTGGCAGTATAAAGAGTAAAACGTTATTAACCATTTTAGTAATAATAGATGTGGCGGCTACTTTTTTCAGCTTCAAATAATTATATATTTAATTTTAATACCTGAAGTTAAAATATAAATAGAGAAAATATGCCGTTTGATAAATATTTCCATTTTACAGAGCTACACGACACGTTTTGTGTATTTGACAAAAATGGAGACGGCATGATAACAGCAGACGAGCTTGGTACTGTCCTGTTTAAGCTTGGACAGCGACCGTCTGCAAACGTCCTAAATGGACTCATGCGCTCTGTGGACGTAGACAGTAAGTTGTTCGCTTATTAACTCATTCGCCACTGAACACACATTTGAACTGTTCCAGTTCAAAGGTTGGAATAGTTCATTATGAACTTTCAGGGGTGAATGAGTTAATGTACTGACGATAGAATACTAGCACTTCACAGGGTAATAATGGGACGAACACATTTTTTTTTTTTAGCCTTGCCTAATTCCACGTTTTATTACATGACTTTCTGTTAACCAGTTATTGTTTTTAACGATTCCACTTATATTCGTATAAAGGGTTTTAATCCAACATATAAACGAATCACCAAAACCATTTTTCTTTAAACAGCAAATCATGAAACTCCATTCGATTGTATCAAAAGCTTTGGAGAAATCCAGAAATAAGATTCAAGCATCTATATTAAAGTTTTCAGCATAATCAATTATATCTTGTATCTGTCTGATATTATAGCCTATAAATCTGTTTTTAATGTATCCATTTTGATCCGTATTTACAATTTTTTCCATAACTGGTTTTAATCTCGTGGCTAATACATATGCTGCAATTTTATAGTCAATGTTTAGTAACGATATAGGTCTCCAATTTTCTAGTTTTTGTTCATTACCTTTTTTGTATATTAATGTAATTAAACCAATTTTTTGCGAGTCGCTCATTTCGCCGTTATAGTAACCTTCATTTAGGGCGTCAAGAACCATATTCCCGATTGACTTCCAAAAGATTCTATAAAATTCCACCGTTAATCCATCATTTCCTGGACTTTTATTTAGTTTCATTTTATTTATTGCCGTGGAGCATTCCGCAATTGTCAATATACCTTCACATGAGACTTTATCATCTTCTGTTAATGAGTTTGGTATGGCTGTTGTTTCTAAATACTCATTCCAATGAGATATATCATGATTTGAGGTGTTATATAATGTCTTATAAAAATCGTGTATTTGTTTCGATATTTCATTTGCGTTTGTTACAATTCTCCCATTTTCACCTTCTAATGTTCTAATTGTTTTTTTCTGCTGTCTACTTTTTTCTAAACCTAGAAAATAGCTTGTGTTTTTTTCTCCCTTTTCTACCCAGGCTATCCGTGACCTTATTTGAGCACCTTTTGCTGACCTCACATATCTTTCCTCCAATTCCCGTTCTAATTCTTGTTGTTCAATTAGTTTTTGTTCAGTCAATGTGACATTCGATTGATTAAGAAAAGCCAGTTTCTCTTCCATAATCTTAATATCATTTCTATTTTTGCGGGCATGATTTTTGCAAAATTGTATTGTCTCTTGTTTAATTAGTACCCAAGATTTTCTTTTATTTAATTGCATGATTTCGCATTCCCGTTTTGATTGTATTATCACTTTTTCAATTAAAATTTTATATTCGTCATTATTAAATATACTACCGTTAATCTTCCAAACCCCCTTTCCTCTATTATCTCTAATTACCTTCAATTTGAGTGATATACCTTGATGGTCGGTGTATTTAATTTGGGCCGGCCTTATATCTACGCTCTGAACTGTATTAATTATATCTTTTTCTATCAGAAAATAATCAATCCTACTTGCTTCCCCATATCTGTTACGTCTCCATGTATATTGGATTTTTTTTTATTACGTTATCTCCAAATATCAACTAAATTTAGAGATTTCTTTTTGTATTTGTTACTCTATATGTCCTTTTAAGGATCCTGTTTTGTACACTTGTTTTTCTATCAATCTTTTCGTGTACCTCGTTAAAATCGCCACCGACTATAATAGATCCAGCTTTATGGTTTGTTATTTGTTTCTGTATATTTTTAAAGAACACATTTCTATTTTGTTCACAATTTAGTGCATATACATTAACAATTGTATACACATCATTTTCAATTTCAATGTTGAGTATAATAAATCTACCATTCTCATCAATTACCTTCTTTTGTACATCGATATTCAATTTATTGTTCCATATAACCGAACCGGCCCTGCTTTTAATGTCACCAAAACTTGATATAGCTTTAGCAAAATTGTGTATTTCTTTGTTAATTACATCAACCAAATCTTCTGTAAAGTGTGTCTCCTGTAGAAATGCTATATCAAATTTCTGATTTTTAAGCCATTCAAATACTCTGAATCGTTTCGATTTGTTTCGAAGACCCCGAGTATTCAATGACAAAACATGTATAGTATAAGGGATACCAATCATAATTGTATACATTTGTCATTATACCATCACAACACAAATGGTTACATGCAATAATTAGATAAAAGCACTCAGCTCCATTGTACAAAACTGGAGTATTTGTATCATTATACAACAATAACAAATATAGTTATACGTATTTCTTATACATGTTTATCAAAATGCAAACAATATATACGGCATAGATCCCGTATATGGCGTTGGTTTATATATATTTTAGCTAAATTCCCGACAAAAACACAACAAACTTGTTAGGACGCGATGTAGCGGAAAGTACAAAATATACTAATATAAAATAATCGACAATACTATATCTAAGTGTATAATAAGGCATTTGTGATACTGCATTGTTAGTTGTAAATTATATCGCCATATTTCGCTTTGTATGGTTAATATCAGAGCAAGAGTTTCAATATTTTGTTTCACAGGAAGCGGAAGTATAGATTTTGAGGAATTCTTGGAGATTTTTACCCGGAAGTTGTCGATTGACCCTGAAAAGGAATTACATGAGGTGTTTGAAGTGTTTGATAACGACAAGGACGGGGGCATATGTCCGGATGAGCTTTATACAGTGCTGCAAAAACTAGGCGAGAGTATCACCAGAGTAAGTAGTTAGGTCCCTTGATTATTCTTTGGTACCTCCGTTAGGAATGCAAACAAAAAGTACCCGATAAGAAATAATGCTGGAAGCAAGGCTTTAACTATTACTTGTCTGACTAACATTCCAACTACGACTTCCTGCCCCTCAAATCACTTACAAATTGCTCTTCGTCTGTCCTGTTGGCTTTCAAGAAGACTATTTTCTTATATTTTTCTTTCGCAGGATGAAGCCGAAGCCATGATAAAGGAGGCGGACAATGACATGGATGGCAAGGTTGATTATAGAGGTAACTATTCACCTGTTACATATAATGTATATAGAAACTTCATTAAATGATGAGCAATCAGAGGAAATGTTAATATTCATAACTATTCTATCTTATTCTATTCGATAGTATGTCCATAAGATACAAAGTAATACCATTAACGTAACGCACAACGCGAGATGTATGACCCATTAACTAGCAAAAAGATGTCCAAACACTTAAGAGGCACTTCGTAAATGACAATTCAAAATAATGATTTCATCATTCGGTTCATAATGAAAGTTTGAAAAAGACTTTCAAGATGACTGCCATGGTTGAAATATTTGATTTGAAATCTGGCCCAAAGTAACAAAAAATGTGTAAGACTATCCACAAAGTTTCAGCGAAATTGGTTTATTTGAATATGCGTTTATATAAATAGGATGTTCAAAATCGGCTGCCAAAATGGCCATATACTGGACTTAAAGTCCAATCACTCATTAGTGATACACTTATAACATATTTAGAGTAATTACGAATAGTAAACAACCAACTTTTACGAAAAGTCTAGAGTCCAACTTATTCATTACAAATATTATTCAGTTAAACTTCAATTGAGAATATCTTACCCCCTTTGTTACAAAAAAATATACAGCCCTATTTCTTTAGTGCAAAATGTATCATCCCATCTCCGTTATTAGAAATATATAAAGAATTCGTGTTTCTCTAACATCTTCTGACTGATGTTGATTTTTCGCTAATTGGTAGATAAGTGGTTACTGATTTAATTAAAAGTAGAAAATGTCTTTTGCCTAGAAGTTTGTCATGTTCGAGATATAATTATAAGTACTACATGTTTTTTCTTTTCTTCTTCAGAATTTAAAGCGATCCTAAACGTGAGATAGATATTAAGTGACAAGCAGCGGGGCAACATGTGTAGCCGTCTTTTTCAGAGACCGTTCCATAATATTTGATTAATGTGGTAGGAGCGAAAACAATAATAAATAATAAAATCTTAAATTAATTTTTTAATTTTTCAAATTAATTTGCTATGTACTGTCATTGCTGTACTATGCTGACTCATCAGTTTGCTTATATTTTATAACTACATGATTGATGCTGATATATACTTTTAATATATTCTTTATACTTTTGTACTTGTTCTATTCATTAATGTTTGTTCTATATAATATGATTTACTCAATTTGAACACCTCATTTCCTATCATTTGTTAGCATTATACACATCGGAGGCATTTTTGAGACAATTTCCTTTGAATCTGTTTTCAAGATAAAAAATCAAAACCTTTTTTGTTTCATTTTATATATTTAATACATGAAATTGAAAGCATATATATGTGTACTAATGGAATAAAAATATACATTGATGTTCCAAATCATTGTTTTTGTTGACTTTGTTTTCAAACCAAGATTGAATACTAATAATGAAACATGTGATGCTCTCAAATATACATTAAAATGAAAATATCCACAATCTACAAACAACCACCTACAATCTACACCACATAAAGTAGAAGTCTAAAATATGAACAGCCGTCTGGAATTTGGTTCAATTGTCATATTCGAAGGGCCATATCTAAACAGTATCTGCTGATATGTGAAAATGTAAACATTGTTGAAACTAAGTTCAATACAGTAACGTGAATATCATCTTCACCGCCACAAATAGAATCCGTGAAGTTTCAACTTCAAATAAAACAAAAACAAAAACACCAATTCGCCTATTCCATATACAGAACATTTGTTTTAAGTTTGGAGTCAATCGCTTCAGCCGTTCTTGAGATGAAATTCAACACGTCTTTTAGTTATCAAAGGCAAGGGTAGCCATCTATGAATTCAAGATGGAACTGAAAGTAACATCACTTGGTCAGGACATCATTAGGTAGTTTTGTTTTAAGGTTGGTACTAATCATTGCAGTAGTAGAAAATGTCTGAACCAATAAGAGGCTAAGGCGGCCATCTTGGATTTTCCGTTCGGCTTTAAAAGTAACAACATCTGTACCGAATACGAGTGTATCGCTGCAGACGTTATTGAGAAAAAACGAAAATGTTTCGGCCAATCAGATGTCATGGTGGCTATCTTCAATTTTCAGAACACGCCAAAAGTAATAACAACACTTTGTAACAAGCTTAAACGGAACATTTGAAGAGTTTAAAATTTAAAAAAAAAAAGTTTGATATATTCTTTAAACAGTCACATTGCTCCGCCCAAACAGGGTTCCTTTTATCCAATAACGTTAGCATATATAGAAAGCAACGCACATATATAACATCTGATTTTGTGTAGAACATCTTTGTAGAGTCATAAAAAACCGTAGCTTACTACGATATCCATGTAATTATCTCGGTCCCACAGGTACCATTTCCGGGAAAGGACCACATGGACAGAACTCGATGTCGTTGTAGCCAAATGCGCAAGGTCCCACGAATTCCAAAGCGCGAGGCGTCCTGAGCATGGGATGAGATGGAAGTGTAAGTACGCTAACTCTCTGGCCGTATTGGACATTCTCTGTGGGAATAGGTTCCCCCGTGTCAGTGTCCACAACAGTAATGAGGTCCGGGACACATGTTACTATCGCCATATCATCTTTCTGACTCGATCGAGCGCCAATTCGCACGATCAGATTTTCATTCTGAAACTCAATCAGGCCCTCTTTGTCGGAGAAGTTGTCTATTCCGTCTATCCTGATAAATCCTTTATTGAAACCCCCAGCGGTGTCCCTGCAGACATCAATGATCTTACCGATGATGTTCAAAAACCCATTGGTTTCCATTCGTATTGCATCTGTCGGGGAAGTGTTTTCGCGGCGACTCAATAGGACGGCCCTGCCTAATCTCCAGGCGTGACTGATAGAGTAGTGGATCAGTTTATCAAAATCATCCGCCACTTGAATACTGCAGATCGTCACCCCAGCGCTACAGCCCATGTCCACCACGGTCTTACGAAAGTGGTTTTCAAGTATTTTAGCTGTATCGACTTTTAGAACCACATCCGTGCGTCCTTTGCAGTCGGCAAGCGTTGATGGAAATGGTCTCTTGCCATATATAACAGGACAATACATTTGCAACTCCGGGAACGCTCGTCCCATACCGTCAGCATCCAAGACTGGAATTCCTAGCTCTGCAGATACCAGTAAAGGTTCTATACAGTTTAGTCCCCCGATTTCAGCTGATACCAAGGCAACTATCTCCTTGTCACCGAGAGTCGTGCTGGAGGACGTCGAAGGTTCGGATGGTTGATAGTTCCGTATGTATGTTATACCATCGTCGGACTCAACTGTATGATTGTGTTCGGAAGGTAATTCTCCGTCGCGATAACCATCTTTGTACAGTTGTTGAAGACACGAGAGTGATTTGGCTGGTTCTCCACTTAACAGTTTCTCCGAGGCTATCAATGGGGCTCCCATAAAAGCAACAGGGACAACAATGCTGTTTGCTGACTTCTGTTTTGATCGATATTTTGACAGCAATTTTTCTTTAGTAATGACACGAATGACCTTTCCTTCTTTTATTGCCATCTTAGCCGTAAGTCTCCCCAGGTAGGGACTCCCGCCGCCACCACACCCCAGAATTCCCGCACCAAGTCCGATACATTCCACATCCCATAAAGATAAAATCCATTCACCGGTTGCTGGGTCGATTTCTGGATCAGAAACTATCTCGCTAGTGTTTTCAGTACCGATCATTTCTCCAGTTGTAGTTGAAGTCTGTTTATTTTGCAGTGGTTCTTTGTCAGTGACGATTGATGTTGGCATCGAAAATGTGTAGATGATGTTATCGGCCGAGCGTTCCGTGTTCAATTCACCGACAACTTTTATCTGCATTCGTGTAGCGTTTCCGGGAAGATAAGATAATGGGATCTCACTTTTCCCTACGAGCTCGATACTTTCACGATTTGCACCCGCATCTACAGCAAACTCAACCGCGATAGATCTGGCTTCTGCTAATGCCTTTTCTCGTGCTATCACGTGGAATGACTTCCTAATTTCTTGTTCAGCTTCCTCGATTTGTTCCTTTGAAGCAGTAGCGTTTAGTTCACTTCTTTGTATTTCTATGGCATTAGATAGCTCTTGTTGATCACTGAAGTCCGACAGGTTGTATACTCTATCGACAGACCCAGACACTTGACTCAGAGCGGCACCGACAGCATTTGCTACATCAGAATGACCTGGTTTTATGACCTCGTTAGCACCTTTCAGACAGTGGCTGTTGTCAAGCAGTATTGTTCCCCCTCCGACCAAAATCACAGGCAAGTCGGCAGCAGATATTTTCATCTGGTCTACTGCTTCCTCAACCATTTCACGAATTTTATCAATTATCGGAGCTGGTTCAATGTGAGAAACGTTTTCTGGCGATCCGATATGACAGTGTTTGGCTGCCACTGCCACGTCTGTTGCTGTCAATCTTCTGCCCGCCATATCGACCTCCGTCCCGAAAGCTAAAGCCTCATTGTTCAAATTATATCCTGCACTCCTCGGACCGACACTTATCGGATCAACGGACACGTACGAACCACCTCCTAGACCAATACTCCTAATGTCTGGCATCCGGAAGTTAGTCCGGATCCCGCCGACCGTTGTTTCTGAAGATGCTTCTCGCGGAAATCCATTCTGTAATATACCAACATCCGTGGTAGTACCACCGATATCAATAACGATGCCGTTTTTCACACCAGACAAGAATGCTGCTCCTCTCATGCTATTTGTAGGCCCGGACGCAAAGGTTCGGACGGGCTGGCTTCGAGCGATTTTCTCGGTAACGATTGTACCGTCATTTTGTGTGAGATAAAACGGACAGTTCAATCCAAGGTCACTTATGGCTGCTTTTAAACCTTCTATAGTCTCCTCACTTAAAGGTTTAAGACATTCGTTTAGGATGGATGCATTTTCTCTTTCCAACAAGCCGATTTGCCCGATTTCACTTGACAGCGTAACGCTTATGGTAGGGTGGACATCCTGTATCATTTGTTTCACGATCTCCTCTTGTTTACTTCTTACTGGCGAAAACACTCCGCAAACGACGATATTGTTAATTCGGTTTCTCACACATACTTCAACACACTCTCCAATCTCTGACTTTGACACTTCGGATATCACTTTCCCGTCAAACTCGTATCCACCATTCACCATGAACACACCGCCATCAATACAACCCCTCAGCTCGTCGTCAAAATCACTGAAAGGAGGAACGGATCGTGACGCTGCGCCGCAAAGACGGATGACTGCAACTCTCGCGAGATTTTTCCTTTGTACTAGAGCGTTAACAAAATGAGTAGTTCCTATGTTCAGTTGAGTAATATTGAGAGGGTTGTTATCGGACGGTAGAGCATCCAGAATAGATCTTGCTACGGCGCGTTTTATACCCGTGGTAACGTCACTGGTTGTCGAGCTTTTAGCAGACGACACAACTTTCGGTAGGCCAGTGTTGACTTGGACAAGTACTGCGTCAGTGTTTGTGCCTCCTACGTCTACTCCGATCACTACCTTTCTCTCACAGGCGGCCATTTTGTTGTACGGTTGTTTGAAAGTCAATGTCTTCCGGGCCCAACCTCGTCACTAAGTACAGACTATCTTTCATTGATACTATGTACGTATATATCTTACCGAGGTCTCTCTGCAAACACTTAGATTGTATGTCACGGACCAGTGTTCACGTCTTGTGAGTTGTAGCGTCAGGGGAGTCAAACAGTAGACTGCATGGTTCCCGGCCTACCCATAATGCTCTGCACGGTAGGCATGGAAACCAGGTGACAGAGACGAATCTAGGTCAAAACGGCCGCAGTGTAAAAACGGCCCTACTGTAAAAACGGCCCTAGTTGAAACGGCCCTACTTTTTAACCGTGATATACAATTTATTTTTAGTGAAGTTAAATAGAGGGTGTCAGCCCACAATGACAAGTGCGTGTAGTTATTATTTACATACTTTTACCCAGTCGTTCAATGTAATAAAATATCAAAATCCGAATTTTCTGGTATAATAGTTGAACTTGACGATAAGAATACCCATGTTAATTCCGTGAACCTTTCACTTCTTAATATTGATACTTAATCTTCCCACAAACCTAGATTCAAAAAATATAAACATAACATAAAAAAACACATTTTAAGGATGTAACACCACTGAGAAGTCAAAATATTCCTGTATTAAACCTTTTTTCATAAAGGTAATATTTCAAAACGAGTTTGATTTCATAGTTGGATTTTTTTCCCGAAATAGAACAAATAAATATGTTCTGGACTGGAAATCGACTTTTTCGTGTTATTGTTATCATGGTAACTTTAGTTATTTCTCTGTAGGGGTCGAGCCGCCGGTGCCTTGTTAGATACACTTTTTAGGTTTATTTGTCCATAATTCAACTATTTCATTTTGATCTTAACATTTGTTACACATAAGCATTATTAATAATCTTCAAAGCGACAACGTGACTGTTATCAAAGTAAAGCCCGAATGTGTTTCTTATATAACACCAGTCAATAATGTACATAATATTTCATTGATAATACGTGATGTTTAAAAGTGGCACCCAAACATTTATTACAAACAGCATATTCATGAGGACAATTGAAATGTTCTTTTTTGTGTACTCATGTGTAATTCAGGTTAAAAGGATTCATCATGTGGTCATAACGCAATTTACAGTACAACATACATGTATAAACAAACTTAGTTTTGCGTAACGCTCGACATACAATGTACATATATATGTAAATGCGATAGAGTTATACAGGTTACGTACGTACAAAATATACCTTGTATGTGAGTTAGGTGCATTATTATGTAAACATCACTTCGAAGAATCTTCAGACCGTCAAAACATCATTTCAGCGCTTATTAGTTCTTAAATGTTTTACAGATCGAAGGAGAATGCGGTCAAACCTATGGTTACCTTTATAATTGCATTGTTGGATCGTAATTTCTTGTGAACGAACAAAAGCTGTTTTGTTTTTAGCTAAGGAAACCGTAGTTTAAAGGATTTTCCTCCTTCTGTATTTATAAGTGACAAAGAAGGAATGGGAAATCATCTGACTTATTGGTGAGCCAACGTGTGAGGATGTAAGCGTGGCACACAGCTGTCGTATACTATCTACCGATACATTTAAATTTGTTTCTGAATTTGAAATTATGGGGTTTAATCTAATGTTATCTGATGCACATAAAGAACTCCAGTATACAATTAATTTTCAATACGGCACCCGTCCCCCTACAGACATTAGATCTGAGGTAAATATTTATGCTAAGAGCAGTAAGTGGGATACCTCGAAAAGGGAACAAATGTAAGTGCATTAAATTTCGAATCAAATGTTGTTTTAAAAGACATAAATAACCAGTTAAATCAGCTGGCTGGTAATGAAATTAAGCATAAAATACAAAAAGAAACGTTTATTAGAACTACACTAAGAATAATAATCTTAAACATCACTGACAATGACAAATGTTTGTATGGGGATGTAATTAAAAGCTATTGGGAACAGGAACACGACGAAATCCTCGTGCAAAAAAAAGGTTACCAACAAACGGACTTCCCTCTCTCGTTATAAAATAAGTCTGAATCCACTATACCCTATTTTCAACCAGTACATGTGACAGACCAATCTTACCATTACATGTGACAAACTTATCCTATCCATTGCAAGTGACAGACCAATCCAACCATTACACCCGACAGACCAATCCAACCATTACATGTGACAGACCAATCTAACCATTACATGTGACAGACCAATACAACCATTACACGTGACAGACCAATCCTAACATTACATGTGACAGACCAATCCAGCCATTACACATGACAGACCAATCAAGTACATACACATGACAGACCAATCAAATCATAACACGTGACAGACAAATCCAAACCATTAGACGTCACATACCAATCCAATTATTACACATGACAGACCAATCCAACCATTACACATGACAGACCAATCCAGTACATACACATGACAGACCAATCCAGTACATACACATGACAGACCAATCCAACCATTACACGTGACAGACCAATCCTACCGTTACACATGACAGACCAATCCAACCATTACACCGACAGACCAATCCAATTCATACACGTGACAGACCAATCAAATCCTGACAAGTCCGAGTGATCCAATCTGAACATTACCATAACATGTGTTTGACAAATCTAACCACTACATTTGTTGGACAATTTCAAAATTTCTGAATGTTACATATCGGTTTGGTTAAATTCAGAAATTCAGATACCTTCATGTTCTTTGCCACCCAAATCGATATCATTACATAGAAAAAGTATGAACTCATTGAACAAAGTGAACCATTGTGAGCAGTCCATAGTCCTACATCTCCAGATAAACGAAGGAATAAAAAATAAATTTAAAAAATGGCCATAACACTGTATTGTGGGTCACAAGACCAAGGTTCTGCACACGACACTCTACCGTCCTAAAAAGTACTCTCATGGTAAAGGACTAGGGGCATTAGGGGTCATGTCTGGCCTCATCGGGAATTTTGAATTAGTTGTTTTATTGGTAATCTGGAATTAATTAAGTATGTAAATATGAAATTTCAAATTCATTCAACAACTGGTCAAGGAGATATGGCATTACAAAGAGAGACATTAAACTGCATTTTCATAATAAAATGTGTGAATATTGTCTTTTGTCCAATATTTGGTTGAAAATTGGCCATTTTGAAGGAAATTAACTAATCACTCTTCGTAGAAAGAATTTTTTGTTTGTCCAATTTTGTTGCTATGGCTATGGTAGGGCATCTACGCATTCCCATTGGAAGAAATCTGCACCAAGAAAGGTAGCCCCAAATAACCAAATTATGATGTTTATAACAGACAAGAGGCCCAAGGGCCTTAGCGGTCACCTGAGTTATATCATAGATACTGGTAGCTTTATTTTATTGTTTAGATGTGATGTGGAAATCAGCATGTAAACTAAGTGAAATACAATACTTGTCATGTCATCAATGGATAAGAATTTGAAAATATTGGTAAATGTTCCCTTTGGGGCCCCGCCCTAGCCCCTGGGGATGGGGCAGGAATCCTAATTTTACAAAGTAAAACTCTCATTTACCCAAGATGATTCTGACTAAGTTTGAGCAATTTTCTGCTGAAAATGGATAAAATATATACCGAAAAGTGTTATTTCCCTATATAAACTATATTAAACGTTAACCCCTCCCCAAGGGAGAACGGATAGCTCGGGGTCCTGATATTTTCAATTTAAATAAAGCCCCTGATGATCTTTCTTTCCACGTAAAGAAAATCACTGTAGTACCTCTGAGTCTGGAGAAGAAGATTTTTGAAATATTGATTAATTTTCCCTTTGGGGCCCCGCCCTGGCCCCAGGGGTCGGGGTAGGAATCTCAATTTTACAATTTGAAACCATCTACCTCCAAGGATAATTCTCACCAAGTAAAAATAATTTCCTACAGAAAGTTGTCAAAATATACCCAAAAGTGTTATTTCCCTATATAAACTATAGTAAACTTTACCCCCTCCCCAAGGGAGAACGGATAGCTCGGGGGTCCTGAAATTTACAATTTAAGTAAAGCCCCTGATGATCTTTCTTTCCACGTAGAGAAAATCACTGTAGTACCTCTGAGTCTGGAGAAGAAGATTTTTGAAATATTGATTAATTTTCCCTTTGGGGCCCCGCCCTGGCCCCAGGGGTCGGGGTAGGAATCTCAATTTTACAATTTGAAACCATCTACCTCCAAGGATAATTCTCACCAAGTAAAAATAATTTCCTACAGAAAGTTGTCAAAATATACCCAAAAGTGTTATTTCCCTATATAAACTATAGTAAACTTTACCCCCTCCCCAAGGGAGAACGGATAGCTCGGGGGTCCTGAAATTTACAATTTAAGTAAAGCCCCTGATGATCTTTCTTTCCACGTAGAGAAAATCACTGTAGTACCTCTGAGTCTGGAGAAGAAGATTTTTGAAATATTGATTAATTTTCCCTTTGGGGCCCCGCCCTGGCCCCAGGGGTCGGGGTAGGAATCTCAATTTTACAATTTGAAACCATCTACCTCCAAGGATAATTCTCACCAAGTAAAAATAATTTCCTACAGAAAGTTGTCAAAATATACCCAAAAGTGTTATTTCCCTATATAAACTATAGTAAACTTTACCCCCTCCCCAAGGGAGAACGGATAGCTCGGGGGTCCTGAAATTTACAATTTAAGTAAAGCCCCTGATGATCTTTCTTTCCACGTAGAGAAAATCACTGTAGTACCTCTGAGTCTGGAGAAGAAGATTTTTGAAATATTGATTAATTTTCCCTTTGGGGCCCCGCCCTGGCCCCAGGGGTCGGGGTAGGAATCTCAATTTTACAATTTGAAACCATCTACCTCCAAGGATAATTCTCACCAAGTAAAAATAATTTCCTACAGAAAGTTGTCAAAATATACCCAAAAGTGTTATTTCCCTATATAAACTATAGTAAACTTTACCCCCTCCCCAAGGGAGAACGGATAGCTCGGGGGTCCTGAAATTTACAATTTAAGTAAAGCCCCTGATGATCTTTCTTTCCACGTAGAGAAAATCACTGTAGTACCTCTGAGTCTGGAGAAGAAGATTTTTGAAATATTGATTAATTTTCCCTTTGGGGCCCCGCCCTGGCCCCAGGGGTCGGGGTAGGAATCTCAATTTTACAATTTGAAACCATCTACCTCCAAGGATAATTCTCACCAAGTAAAAATAATTTCCTACAGAAAGTTGTCAAAATATACCCAAAAGTGTTATTTCCCTATATAAACTATAGTAAACTTTACCCCCTCCCCAAGGGAGAACGGATAGCTCGGGGGTCCTGAAATTTACAATTTAAGTAAAGCCCCTGATGATCTTTCTTTCCACGTAGAGAAAATCACTGTAGTACCTCTGAGTCTGGAGAAGAAGATTTTTGAAATATTGATTAATTTTCCCTTTGGGGCCCCGCCCTGGCCCCAGGGGTCGGGGTAGGAATCTCAATTTTACAATTTGAAACCATCTACCTCCAAGGATAATTCTCACCAAGTAAAAATAATTTCCTACAGAAAGTTGTCAAAATATACCCAAAAGTGTTATTTCCCTATATAAACTATAGTAAACTTTACCCCCTCCCCAAGGGAGAACGGATAGCTCGGGGGTCCTGAAATTTACAATTTAAGTAAAGCCCCTGATGATCTTTCTTTCCACGTAGAGAAAATCACTGTAGTACCTCTGAGTCTGGAGAAGAAGATTTTTGAAATATTGATTAATTTTCCCTTTGGGGCCCCGCCCTGGCCCCAGGGGTCGGGGTAGGAATCTCAATTTTACAATTTGAAACCATCTACCTCCAAGGATAATTCTCACCAAGTAAAAATAATTTCCTACAGAAAGTTGTCAAAATATACCCAAAAGTGTTATTTCCCTATATAAACTATAGTAAACTTTACCCCCTCCCCAAGGGAGAACGGATAGCTCGGGGGTCCTGAAATTTACAATTTAAGTAAAGCCCCTGATGATCTTTCTTTCCACGTAGAGAAAATCACTGTAGTACCTCTGAGTCTGGAGAAGAAGATTTTTGAAATATTGGATAATTTTCCCTTTTGGGCCCCGCCCTGGCCCCAGGGGTTGGGGTAGGAATCCCAATTTTACAATTTTGAAGCCTCATCTACCAAGGATGATTCTGACCAAGTTTGAAAAAAATCCATCCACTGGTTCTTGAGAAGAAGTTGAAAATGTAAAAGTTGACGCACGACGGACGACGGACGATGGACGACGGACGACGACGGACGAAAAGCGATTGGAATAGGTCACTTGAGCAAAGCTCAGGTGACCTAAAAATGTAAGTATATTCAAGTTGAAATTTTTACTTTTTATGAGGCCAAAAATGACCATTAACGCCCCAAGTCCTTTGGCAATTGTAAGTGATTGAGATTTATCCTGTACTAAGGAAAACACAGGTTGACTGACTGCAAACCTACAGTGCCTTCAGTGTAACAGGTGGGTGACTCATAATTCTAGATCTGGCAAAGAATAATCAACAACTTTTCATTTTGCACCATATATTTTATATTCTATTAAGAATTTTACAGCAAATATTGATATATACTAAAATATCATAAGTTCATTGACTAGATACAATACATTTTTATGAAATAAGCTTTATACAATTTTGTATATACAAGATATTGCACATTGCTTGACACTTCAATATTTACAATAAACATACAACCCTAATTAAAATTTAACATTAAAAGGTAACATGATTCTCCAATCTACAGAAAAAGATATGTTGCGTGATAATAAATAGCGTACATGATAGAAGATTGACAGTATTTCTATCCATTTGATTGATTTTAATGCTCACATATAATCTTCAGATTTTGTGAAGATAACATATGAGAATTAAGTATATAAATGAATATAAACAATAATCAATTATCACAAATTGGAGATTTTGTTTCTCCCATAACATAAATGTGAATAAAGATGTATAGAGTGAAACAGCTTGTGGTTATTTCACAATGTGTAACCAGTCAAAATATCAACCATAGGCTGGGATATATATAAGTATATGTGGGAGTGAGGAAACCTATTGTAATGAGACGGATAAAACCTGTGTAAGTGGTTAAACCCGTTAAAGTTAGGACAGAAATACTGCCTTAGTAAGTAAACAACTCTGCCAATGCATTTGATATGTTCATCTAACTACAAGTCACCACTATTCTTTAGTGAGTATAGGATGGTTAATGGACTCCCCGCACTACAGCCTTATACTGGAAATCTAAGGTAAACAGGTCCTACACAGATATTGTTATAATTACAACCATGTTCCATAACATTTCTGATGTACTAAAGATAGTCACCTTCTTGTAGAATGCTTGACCAATGATAAAAAAATATATAAATAGGACAATTTGGTAGCCTGGTTACTACATTTAAACCTGCCTTAGAGGAAAAATTGCCTGTCTGTAGAATTACCTGTCTACCTGTAATATGGATGTTGGTTTTAGAATATCTAAAGTTGACAAATATCAACAATTTGTGTGTAAGGAGTGCTTGTCCAATATCTTTACTGTTTTTGCTTTCTTTCTTTAACATTCTTTATAGACAGGCTTGACTCTTTCCTTCTCCTAAATCTATGTTTACAAGAATCACTTAGAGGATTGCAAATTTCTCACACACCGAGGTATAAATGTATTACTTTTTTTAAAGGATACGTTTGTTTGGCATTATCTCCTTAACAGAAGAGTTTGAAACCAAAATTAAACATTTACATTATACAGTAGTAGAAAAAGTCCCCAAATACGTGATGGGTAAATATCATATTCACCAAACTACAATGTAGTAAATTTTCTTACTGTAAACAGACAGTAGGTAACATATAAATTACTTTACTCGTTCACCCCGGAATTGAAACAAAATACATGTACTGTACAAATACTTTTGTATTTATATTATATATCAATACACAGTAACTTCAAGATATAAATAGATATTACCGATAAATGTTTTCATATCAACAATAACAACAACAATAAAGTTTGCTCTATGTACACTTGGAATGTTAAAATCACAGAAACTGCCATAAAATAATCACTCCAATGCCCATCTTTATGTAATCAATACTTTCAGCATTGTTTAATTACGATATACTGCACTGCAACAAATATATCACCAACAATATTCATAAATAACTTTCAAAGGATCTGAAAAAAAAACGTTTTTTATTTGAATCTTAACAAAAGTTTGGGACATAGCAACTTATAAATAAAATATGCGCAAATCACATCTCACATGACTGCAATCTTTCATTAATGGAATCAGAGATATTCATATTGCAAACAGGAATTTGTAGTTCCTGTTATATTTTCACAATATAGAACAAGAGGATGAATCCAACATGGTCAGAAGATGATATACATAATTAGCAGTACATGGGCAAATACAATACAGGGCAAATGTGCTTTGGAAGGCTAGATGACTAAAATCTGGTGGGGTGAAATCTATGGTTTATGTGATTTACAGATCATCTGGGAAACATATCAACTGTTCTTGATGACTCCCATACCAATATCTTAATATTTTTTCAATATGAATATCATGAACTGCTGGGTAACAGCAGTCCTTCGGTCCTCAGAACAGTTCCTGTAAGATTAATGAATTTTACTCTGCTCCTGTCAGCTCTGTGCCAGTATTGGTTTCCTGTGCATTGTGCTGGGAACACTGTCTCAAACGGCAGCCTTCAGTTCAGTCGTTGAGATAGTAGTGAGTCCCAATGTACTGGGCAGTAGACTCTATGATGATTGACTACACAACGTATAATTACGCCAATACAGGACAATGGCCTAAAATACACCAGTTTGACATATTTGACCTGTAACACTGTACACCCTATTGTCCGAGTGTTCACTCTATGAAGTCTGAAACTTGATCAGCACCAGGTGTACCTATAATTCTATTACATCTACAACATATTGTCTATGAAGGTCCACTCTGTGTCACCGAGGTTTGACCTTCACGAAGAGTACTGTGACCTATTGTCTATGAAGGTCCACTCTGTGTCACTGAGTTGTGACCTTCACGAAATTTACTCACATATTGGCTATGAAGGTCCACTCTGTGTCACCGAGGTTTGACCTTCACAAAGTGTACTGTGACCTATTGTCTATGAAGGTCCACTCTGTGTCACCGAGGTTTGATGAGGTGTACTGTAACAGTGTACACCATATTGTCAGTGTCCATTCTACACTGTCTGATACTTGATCAGCACCAGATGTACTGTAACACAGATAAATGTAAAGCTCGACATTCAGTCCAGGTCTATCTTTACACACTGTATCTATGCTCACTACCATCCACAGTCAGCATAATCACTGTTCTTGGATCCACCCACACCAGGCGGACTAGTTTCAACAGGTTAGTGAGGTTGGTCACTGGGCAGGGAGGAGTCGGAGCTGACTTGACACACTTTGTCTGTTGTGATCCAATCCCAAATAAGGAAGAGGATGCCGTCTATTAAAAAATAAAGAAATATATTTAGCATCAAGTGTAGAACAAAAAATCATTTACAAATTTGGTGCAGAAAACAACAGGAGATAAGATAAATTACCACTAAGGAAGGGGGAAATACAAAATGTAGCATCAAATAAATCATTAACATGGGATCAAATAAATCACAAATATGCAGTGTTTGTTTTTGTGTAAAAAGAAGCAAAAAATAAATAAATATATGAAATAAAAAAAACATCTAGGTGATATCAATATTATTGCCCCTATGAAGCCACCTTGCATGAACACTGAAATAAAATCAAGGAATGAAAATACTGAAAAATAATGACACCGACAGAGATATATTAAAGATGAGACTGGAGGTATAGGGCTAGTCGTACTATATATCATTTACATGTGATATTTTGTGACACTGGCCAAAATAAAGTGATATTAAGCCATTTCAAACCAAGTTTTACAGACATTTAATTACATAGGTGGTAAAGCAGGAAAAACTGTGCATAAGAAAACATGATATCAACAAAACATGACATTAAGTGATGTGATATAAAGTGAAAATTGCTGTATTACATCTAACAGTCACGTTTACGTTCTTCCAGTTTTGTTTTCACAGTCTAACAAAAACAATAGCGGTACATTGCGCAACATTTTAAATACTGATCTTTCAGTACAATAGTTAATGCTGTGCAGGAATAAATAAATTACTTAATAACTTTTCTGAAGCTTTAACTATTTTCATGAAATACAGGCTTTCAAATCAACAAATTTGAATTTTAATGAAATATTTTTTTTAAGTAACGTCATCAAAACAATTGCAAATATGACTATGGGAAAGAAAGGAATCCTTTAGAACCAGTCTTTCTTGTGACTGTTATGTTTTCAAGCTTTTTATTGTACACAGAATCTGCCAAGTTAATACTTCTGCCAAAATGACTAATTACATGTACCCCCCTGGTCACATGTAACATGGTGACCTGTCCTGATACAGCCAAATTCAAAATGTCTCAAAATGATTTGTTCTGCTCTAAATGCAAAAGAAATATGACAATTCATGCCTAATATTCATTATTTCAATAGTACAGGATATCAATAAAGAATGAAAATGTCATTCCTGAAATAAAAGTTATGTTAATATGTCACCCACTGAAGACATGCTCCACTGGGAACAGATACCACTTTCATGGAAAATACCAGACACAAAAAGGAGATGCATGCAGAAGTCTAGTGGTTACATTCTTAATTATGATTTTTTATTTTATTTATACAGCTGTTAAGACCCATGTAGCAGTTTCAAAAACTACTGGATAATTCTGGACCATAAGATAATTCAATAGACCCGATGAAGAGTCAACTTCACACTTCTATAACAATCAGGCCCTATACAATATACTGTGTACTATATGAGTTTTGTCAGGGATAAGATTTCAAAAATCTATAATAATTTACAGATTCAAGTAGCTTACAAATGTGTTGCATGATTGCAGGGTAAGACAAAACGTACTGTATATCATATATTCCACAGCTGAAGCTTGATGATGAATCACTGATGTTTTCAATGTTTAAGTATGTAATGAATGATGCTGATTCACTGATGTTTTCAATGTTTAAGTATGTAATGAATGATGCCGAATCACTGATGTTTTCAAGGTTTAAGTATGTAATGAATGTTTGCAGACTCACTGATGTTTTCAATGTTTAAGTATGTAATGAATGATGCAGAATCACTGATGTTTTCAATGTCTAAGTATGTAACGAATGATGCAGAATCACTGATGTTTTCAATGTTTAAGTTTGTAGTGAATGATGCAGAATCACTGATGTTTTCAATGTTTAAGTATGTACTGAATGATGCAGAATCACTGATGTTTTCAATGTCTAAGTATGTAACGAATGATGCAGAATCACTGATGTTTTCAATGTTTAAGTATGTACTGAATGATGCAGAATCACTGATGTTTTCAATGTCTAAGTATGTAATGAATGTTGCAGAATCACTGATGTTTTCAATGTCTAAGTTTGTAATGAATGATGCTGAATCACTGATGTTTTCAAGGTTTAAGTATGTAATGAATGTTTGCAGCCTCAATGATGTTTTCAATGTTTAAGTATGTAATGAATGATGCTGAATCACTGATGTTTTCAATGTTTAAGTTTGTAGTGAATGATGCAGAATCACTGATGTTTTCAATGTCTAAGTATGTATTGAATGTTTGCAGAATCACTGATGTTTTCAATGTCTAAGTATGTAATGAATGTTTGCAGAATCACTGATGTTTTCAATGTCTAAGTTTGTAATGAATGATGCAGAATCACTGATGTTTTCAATGTCTAAGTATGTAATGAATGATGCAGACTCACTGATGTTTTCACTGTTTAAGTATGTAATGAATGTTTGCAGACTCACTGATGTTTTCACTGTTTAAGTTTGTAATGAATGATGCAGAATCACTGATGTTTTCACTGTTTAAGTATGTAATGAATGTTTTCAGAATCACTGATGTTTTCACTGTTTAAGTATGTAATGAATGTTTTCAGAATCACTGATGTTTTCAATGTTTAAGTTTGTAATGAATGATGCAGAATCACTGATGTTTTCACTGTTTAAGTATGTAATGAATGTTTTCAGAATCACTGATGTTTTCACTGTTTAAGTATGTAATGAATGTTTGCAGAATCACTGATGTTTTCAATGTTTAAGTTTGTAATGAATGATGCAGAATCACTGATGTTTTCAATGTTTAAGTATGTAATGAATGATGCAGAATCACTGGTGTTTTCAATGTCTAAGTTTGTAATGAATGATGCAGAATCACTGATGTTTTCAATGTTTAAGTATGTAATGAATGATGCAGACTCACTGATGTTTTCACTGTTTAAGTATGTAATGAATGTTTGCAGACTCACTGATGTTTTCACTGTTTAAGTTTGTAATGAATGATGCAGAATCACTGATGTTTTCACTGTTTAAGTATGTAATGAATGTTTTCAGAATCACTGATGTTTTCACTGTTTAAGTATGTAATGAATGTTTTCAGAATCACTGATGTTTTCAATGTCTAAGTTTGTAATGAATGATGCAGAATCACTGATGTTTTCACTGTTTAAGTATGTAATGAATGTTTTCAGAATCACTGATGTTTTCACTGTTTAAGTATGTAATGAATGTTTTCAGAATCACTGATGTTTTCAATGTCTAAGTTTGTAATGAATGATGCAGAATCACTGATGTTTTCACTGTTTAAGTATGTAATGAATGTTTTCAGAATCACTGATGTTTTCACTGTTTAAGTATGTAATGAATGTTTTCAGAATCACTGATGTTTTCAATGTTTAAGTTTGTAATGAATGATGCAGAATCACTGATGTTTTCAATGTTTAAGTACCGATTAAAATTTAGATCGATGAATCAGTTAAAATAAAGAGAAACATAAATGAAGTCAAATCATTTAATTTAAAAACAATGCATTAAAACCCAAAGTTTAATGTACCAGAGTATGATTGAAGCTAAACTCAATCAGAGATTTAGGAAATCAAACACTGTTAACAAGTCCCAGGTACAAAATCTGCAAAAAACGAGCAACTATACACTCTTTATATATAAAACACTTCTCTATATTCATTTGTAACATGTAGATACTTCATGATGTCCAAGTCCAAATTGTATGTTAACACCAGGTAACGAAGACAGGATAAAATACCACTAACATGTAACTGACACACCATCATACAAATACTGTACCTTTTACTGTACTTATGTAACCATGACAACAGGTAACACACACCTTTAAAAGGTAACCATGACAACAGGTCACAAACCATTTTCACCACATATATATCAATGTAATTATCAGCCCACAAATCACATACCTTTCCTTTAGTTTTCGAATTAATTCCCTGAAAATCACTTTCCTGGTAATGAAAATACATAATTCTTTGAAATGGTAATTTGCTTCAGATTCAAAATGCAACCACTTGTCATCTTTTGTCTGGCCCACCTCGTCCACCAAACATTTGATGTCACAGCAAATCTTTAGAATAGGACTTATGACATGTTTAATATCTCCACAAAGGAGATGGCAAAACTTGATCTGAAGTTCAAGGTGGATTTCTATATGTATATTATGTAAGATCCTGTATATTTCAGTTTTGGAAAAAATAAAATAAAAAATCATACCCGCATATGATTGCAGGGTAAGACAAAACATGTACTGTATATCATATATTCCACAGCTCAAGGTTGATGTCAAATCACTGATGTTTTCAATGTTGAAGTACTGAATGATGCAGAATCACTGATGTTTTCAATGTTTAAGTACTAAATAATGCCGAATCACTGATGTTTTCAATGTTGAAGTACTGAATGATGCCGAATCACTGATGTTTTCAATGTTTAAGTACTGAATGATGCCGAATCACTGATGTTTTCAATGTTTAAGTACTGAATGATGCTGAATCACTGATGTTTTCAATGTTTAAGTACTGAATGATGCTGAATCACTGATGTTTTCAATGTTTAAGTACTGAATGATGCTGAATCACTGATGTTTTCAATGTTTAAGTACTGAATGATGCTGAATCACTGATGTTTTCAATGTTTAAGTACTGAATGATGCTGAATCACTGATGTTTTCAATGTTTAAGTACTGAATGATGCTGAATCACTGATGTTTTCAATGTTTAAGTACTGAATGATGCTGAATCACTGATGTTTTCAATGTTTAAGTACTGAATGATGCCGAATCATACTAAGTACTGAATGATGCCGAATCATACTAAGTATTGAATGATGCTGAATCACTGATGTTTTCAATGTTTAAGTCTGAATAAAATTTAAATCGATGAATCAGTTAAAATAAAGAGAAACATAAATGAAGTCAATCAGTTAATTTAAAAACAATGCATTTAAACCCAAAGTTTAATGTACCAGACTAGGATTGAAGCTAAACTCAATTAGAGATTTATATATATGTATATTATGTAAGATCCTGTATTTTTCAGTTTTGGGAAAGAAAAATAATAAATTTATATACCCGCACAAAAACAATTGAATGCAATATTTTTTACGTCTATCAATATCCGTAATTCTCCAAATGATACACACACAAAATTAAATTCAGCGGTTTATCAAAAGCAATAGCAAGGTTAATGTAGCTTTAATAAATGTTCAGTACTCATACTAAATCCTCCAGTACTGACCTGCCAGAATTTGAGTCTGTTGTCGAAGTGAGAGTATGTGGCTAGGTACTTTCCATCTGGAGACACACAAGTGGCTACAACTGGACCGGAGTGGGCAGTGGTCATCTGCAAAGAACAAAGGTCACTCTGATATTAGTAACATGACCACAGTAACAACAGTCTGTTACTGTCAATGTTCCTAGTGGAACTTGTCACTATAAAGTACATACATATAGCTCCTGTAAAGTATCGGATTTTTACATTATTGTGATTTTGAGATATGGTTTGAAAGTGAAAAAAATAATGCAAAACTTCTACTTAATACGTGTTAAAAAGTATTAAAATTCAAACCATAAACTGTGTCCATTTAGGATCCCTGTCCCAGGACCAACTGCAGGCGAAACCATGCACACAGTAGTCTCCCTTTGATTTCATATTGGATTTAACTGGGCCGTTTTCGTTTATCACTATCCAAACGGTTGGACCAGTTGGGCCAGAGCTGTTGTTTATGATATAAGGTCGGACCTAGTAATCTGAGGCTGCTTTCTAACAAGCCTTGACAAAGCCTGCATATACTTTTACAGGTCTGCTCGATTTATACCCAAAAAATGTTACATTTAAAAACAGACAGGTTGTTCTGCAAAACAGGCCCCTGTAGAATGACTTGAACAGGGTATAGCTACCAATGATTGTTCCGGGCAACAGAATAATTATTGGAGGTCCAGGGTTCAAATTCTGCTCTGACTGTTGTAATTTTACCTTCAGAACACTGTTGTTGATTATTTATTAATATACTGTTTTCTTTTCAGAATAATATATATTAAATCAGAACCCTATCGAAAACATAAATTTCCAATAAAGTCACAGCTTTTGACATTAGTACAGGGTTTCTTCATATCCAAAATGATCACTTCATACAGGAAACACAAATATTTATAATCTTCCAAATATTTTTAAAATAGGATTCTATTGTTTTGTTAACTACTCACTTAGCTATTACAATATTTTGCGGCAATAAGCCAATGCTTGAAAATAATCCTACTCATACCTATTGCAGTTCAGAAGAAATGCTAACAAATGTTATTTCATTGCCCTGACTATTATCCCGTTTTAACTGTATCATCAACATTTCTCCCAAATTTAGAATTCTCACCACACAGGCCAAGGGTGCTTGTTCACTACCTGTAGGCCCTACAAGACTATGTTATCCTTTACCTGACATTTTGAGTGTTGTTTCAGATCATAGAAAGCCAGGCCACCATTTTTTGCTCCAACCCAGATCCTCTTACTGACCGGACACACAGTTACCATGCTGAACCTGAAAGATACAACATATTTTTTTTTACAATAGAAGTATTTACCAAAATACTTTGTTAAGAATGTAGGTAATTAGGGAAATGTTCTACTTTAAACATTGTGCAACAGGATATTTAACATATCAGACATTGTGCGACAGTCCTGATATTGTGTCCTATATGCACACAAACAGTCATTTGTAAGATGAAGTAGATATAAACACTCTCTGGTAAGGTAAAGATGAAAATGATACAAGATATGTACAATATTGAGATAGGATCACTTGGCAAGGTGGAAAGAAAATAAATACATATAAAGCTAATGTTTCAGTGAAACATGAATCATGAAACATCAACAAAAACATAGACAGGGCTTCCCACTACCAGTTCCCTGGTCAGGATTATTTTATCATAAAACAAATAGTATGCATGTCTATAAAATTACTATGGCTGCTTTTCCTCTCTGTCTTTAGTAGTATTTTGACTGTATGTAGATATCTTCAAATGTTGCATGGATAAGAATTGTGGACCTACCGACAAATGGCTGGGAAGAGATCCATCAGTCCTTTCGACTTAAGCTGGCTGGGGTCAAGACAGTGCATTGTTACATCCATCACCTATATCAACAGAAGATTTTATACACTGAAACAATTTAATATATTACCATAACTTTAAAACAGAAATCTCCTTCAGATTTCCTCTCAAAAGATAACTGGTGTGTAATCTAAAACAAAATTTTAATCTGCAATCGAAATTAAATCTTGTACATAAAACAGTTTTTCTTCTATTAATCTCTCTTCATTATTCTGTAGATTACTCATATTTCTATCGACATTATATTTCAACATAAATTTAATAATACTAAGTGAAATATTTTAGTAGGAAACAGCAACTCCTTCCTCTACAATATTTTATTTCCAGTGTCTAAGAACTATTTAAGGTTAACATTTCTCTAACCATCTACCCATAACCCTAGGTGAACTTGTGGTATTGATGGGCTATAGAACCTATATTAAACTGGATATTTTGTCGGGACTTCCATACCTCCACCAGGTGATCAGCGACATCATTGGGCATCTTCTCCACCAGGAGTTCCACCACCCGTAGTATCTCCTGTTTACTCTTTACCAGCACATTATTGTGAATATTGGAGTGTTGGGACTGAGCCGTCTGGGCTATTGCATTGTAGCGTGCCACCTCCTTTGCTATGGTGATGATAAAGGCCGGTGGTCTGGCCGTGGCGATGAGAGAGAGGGCGTGGCGTGCACTCCTACAGGCATCTGCAGCCGGGGTCAAAGGTAAGCCGAAGGTCATACTGCTGTAATTGTCAATTATAAATTATTTTTAATTGAATTTTGTAACATTTGATTTAATAATAAATAAGGGTTTTGAAGAAAGTAATATCTCAAAAGTTTTATACATTTTTATATATTCTTTTTTTTCACTATATTTTACCCTTGTATCTTTTGAAATGTTTACCCCGAGTTTAGTTCAATCTCTTGTTTGAAAATTTACAATATACATGACCATGTGTTGTGTTCAACTTCTTGTTCAAGGGCAAAAAGGATGAAGGAAAAATAGTAAAAAGTTCCCATTTACAGCAGACCAAACAAATTAAAACCAAATCTTGCATTGTATATTGTTACTCCACCAAGAAGTACAATGAGGGATCCGATTTTGATTACATTTGTGGGTGATTAACATAGGAACACAATATAGGTGAGATAAAGATCAAATGTCAAATCAATCAATTAACCTGATGTTTTATGCTTTAATTTGTTATCTCATATTCTCAAAAAGATGAATATTCCAGTGTACATTAGGTCTAATTTAGAATCACTATTTAACAAAAGGTTTTAATGGTGAATTTCATTAACATAATGAACATCTTAAGTACACTTGCAGAATTTCTACTTACTGCTCTACATTTTACATAGATAAAAGATAACTTCTCAAAATACTAAACCCCATTGCCAGATGAGCAAATTGAACGGTACAGGGGTGTTTAGATTCCTTTTAAAAGACCTGACATAAGTTGCCTTTATCATTTTTTCAAACTATAGTCTAACAGCCTAACAGGGTGATAAAGCTAGACAACATCGACACCTACACGTGCTATGAAACAAGAACCATTTACACTAAGTGTTTGTTGTTAAAGTTAGATGTGGATTAATCTGTGGTAGCTTACTGTGGTACAAGTCTGTCTGTATCTGTACATAGCTCCAGCAGTCCCATCAGTACAGCGGACACATCCAGGTAGGGCTCCCACACGGTGAAGCCTCGGCCTAGGAGGTCCACTGATGCCCGTCGGATGGGGGTGTGAGCAGGCAAGCGTCGGCTGGGGGCCTGCTGCAGCAGGAACATCAATGCTTTGCCTGTAAATACACACCATTGGGAAACCTCAATTAAAGACAACTTAACATATAACACATAAAGTGATAAGTTACTCACCTATATCAGTATACATATGGAATAATATTACAATTAAGGGTAAAAATTAATATGCTGCTTTGAATTTTTATACATATTGTTCTCAGAATTCTAAGGAGGGCTGTTCTAGTTATGAATATACAGGACAGGGAGGCTCAGGGAGTGAGTGAGTGTATTTACCTGTTTGATTGTTTTGTAGAGGGGACAAATATTGAAGGTAAATTATGGAGATGTGGGATTACTAAAAAGCATCTTTTCTACCCAAATTATTGATGTATTTGCGGTATATCTGTATCTTTTAAAAATCTCTTATTACCAGTAATTATCTGAAAAGTTTTAAATATCAACTGCATTTGATCAATGTTATAATATAAATAGCCAAATGTCTGTAATCTCTAGCTGATAGGTGTAAATATAAGAACGTAAACATGGTTCAAAAGAACTACATACAGTCGAACCTCTTTATCTCGAAGTCGACGGGGTCGTGGGAAAAGTTATCTGAGTGTTCGAGTTATACGGGTTCATAAATTTGGTATGAAATGCTGTTGGACATAGCACTAGCAGTTGTTGATTCTATTAATAACCAATGCTTATAATCAATCCCTGAATAATATACGTAATCAATATAACAAATACAGGTATGTAATTTTACAATAAATACGCTTACAAAAATACTGTAGAGTAAGTTAACGCGATCAAAACGGTTGGACCATATTTTGAATCGTTATTAAGTATGGACAGGTCTTGTGATTACTGTTGTTGTTGGCTAGTCTAGTACTTGGCAAAGTCTTTCCAGGTCTGCATTTGTATTTGCAAGTCCGTCAAGTTTAATTTCTAAAGTGTTACATTTAAAAATCGAACTATCCCGCTGTCTTCGTCCTCGTACTATACAATGCCGAAATGAAAGTGCGCAAGTCTAAAACAAATCACTGTAATGGAGCGTAAGCATAGTTGATTCTGTAAATGAAAAAACACCCAAACATATTATATTGTACATGTGTAACACATTAATTCATTAAGCTAAATGCGACACCTGACACCTTCTCAACTCGATGTAATCAACAGCAATTATCGTATTGTTCTTAAATCTCCCGATCGACTTTCAAAGCCATACTGGCCCCTGTAAAAACATGAACCCATGAAGCTGTCTTAGGTTGTGATTTTAACTGTGGACCTCTTTTATGCATGACCACGCTTTAATTTGTGACCAATTTTCAGGTTTGCACTGTCGTCTATTTGGGTGTACAAATCATTTAACGGACTCGCAGCAAGTACAGAATATTGTTGATCAACATTAACGAAGTTTGTTTTTTATTATAAACAACATGGTTTTGTCAGTCCGCACATTTTACAGTCTGAAGCTTTATCGTAAATTCTTTTTACCGATTTAGTCTACTCGTGAAAGATGTTCATACACACGGAATGGCGAGATGTCTTACTGTTGCGTTTTATTTGTATCAAAGAATTAATCAGTGACAAAATGAAATTCAAACACTATGAAGTAGACGATGTTTTGATGTTGGATTTACGCTATTGAAACCAATATCTTACTTCGAGGTATCCAAGTTTTTCGACTTTTCAGGGTTCGAATTATCAGTTTTATTTACTAAGATAAAGAAAAGACTTGGCCGGGACCGGATAAATACTTCGAGATAAACGGGGTCTTCGAGTTAAAAGGGTTCGAGATAACGAGGTTCGACTGTAACTATGACTGTATACGGTGTAACAGGCTTACTTGTATGCCTGGACAGAGAGTAATTTGTTATAATTGTATACGGTGTAACAGACTTACTTGTATGTCTGGACAGAGAGTAATTTGTTATAATTGTATACAGTGTAACAGACTTACTTGTATGTCTGGACAGAGAGTAATTCGTCAGTGTAAAACCATCTTGATTGATTGCTGATGATGCTTTTCTGGACTTCTTGATATCCTCATTTTTACGTCGTGAAGGTTCCATCTCATGTCCAAATTCAGCCCCAACTACACCTAGCATAACAATAGCTGTGGCCTGCTTCCGACGACTCTCAAAGGAGGTTGATGTCTTATTGATAGGAAAGTCACCTGAAATTTGTTTGTTTTGTTTAAGATTCATCATTTGTTTCAAGAAAGCAAACTTAATTTCCAAAAATGCAAAGAATTTGTTTTCTTTACATAGAACAGAAATGACAGTTTTCTACTGCGCTTGTTTCCATAAAAATGATGTGGTTAGGTATTTCAGTCACATGTGTTAGGTATCTCAATCACCTTAATGTTTTATTTGGCCTTACCTGTGACCATCGGGTCCTCATCATCATAATCCTCGTCCTCCTCCTCGCCTTTAGAACCATCATTAGCCATCAGACTGACATTTTGGTCCACGTAGGTAGGGAGATAGGGAGACCAAATGTCTACCACTTCTTTCCGTCCTTCTGGCCCAATCCGACGAAGCTCAGCCAGTAATAGGGCCTGGGCTGCTTCTCGAATCTGTATCAGAATCAATCCAAACATTTTCAGGTATGCTTCATTACAATAAACTCTGTGCCAGGCTAACATTTAAAGACTAGATACAAACAAGTAAAAATTACCTCTCAACACTATGAGTCATGCTAATTCTTACAAACAGGTAAAATCTCAAGTTATCACTCCTGTCACAGTTGTACTAAAATCACAGGTGAGATGCAGGTAAACTTACCTCCAGATACCTCTCCTATCACGACTGTGCCAAAATCAACAGGTGAGGCAAAGACTTGTAAAAAGTTACGTCTGGAAACCTCTCGGGTCATTAACTATACAGGTGAGATACAGGTAAAACTTACCACCAGACGCTTCTTCTATTACGATCGTGTTAGATCAACAGGTGAGACAAAGACAGGTAAAATTTACCTCCAGCAACCTTTCCTTTCTTTTCAACTATAGGTAAATCTTACCTCCAGACATTTTTCCAGTCAGGGCTGTGCCGACATCTACACAACAGAAACAAACAGGTAAATCTTACCTCCAGATACTTTTCCAGTCAGGGCTGTTCTGACATCTACACAAGAAACAAACAGGTAAATCTTACCTCCAGACACTTTTCCAGTCAGGGCTGTTCCAACATCTACACAAGAAACAAACAGGTAAATCTTACCCCCAGACACTTTTCCAGTCAGGGCTGTTCCAACATCTACACAAGAAACAAACAGGGAAATCTTACCTCCAGACACTTTTCCAGTCAGGGCTGTGCCGACCTCTACACAAGAAACAAACAGGTAAATCTTACCTCCGGACATTTTTCCAGTCAGGGCTGTGCCGACATCTACACAAAAAACAAACAGGTAAATCTTACCTCCAGACACTTTTCCAGTCAGGGCTGTTCCAACATCTACACAAGAAACAAACAGGTAAATCTTCCCTCCAGACACTTTTCCAGTCAGGGCTGTGCCGACCTCTACACAAGAAACAAACAGGTAAATCTTACCTCCAGATCCTTTTCCAGTCAGGGCTGTTCTGTCATCTACACAAGAAACAAACAGGTAAATCTTACCTCCAGATCCTTTTCCAGTCAGGGCTGTTCTGTCATCTACACAAGAAACAAACAGGTAAATCTTACCTCCAGACACTTTTCCAGTCAGGGCTGTGCCGACATCTACACAACAGAAACAAACAGGTAAATCTTACCTCCAGACACCTGTCCTGCCAGCGCCGAGCTAGCATCTCCAGTTGTGGAGGTTGTATACTGGAGGACCCCACCATCTCTGGGAGGAGGACACAGTGGAGAGCAGCAAGAAGACTCCAGCCCTGCTTTATCTGTGACTGCTGCATCATGGCCATGTCAGACTCATCCTCACTACCCCCCTCTGAACTGTTGTCCTCTGCCACTAATAAACCTTTGTGGAGCCCGAACTTGGTTCTGTCAATAGGAAAACCAATACTGTGCTTCAAAAGATCTTTCACTCTATAGGACTTTGATCTTCATATAATTTTTTTATTTTTTTTATGAAAATGTTCATACCAGAACTGAATGTGTATTTGTTTGCATGCCCTGATCAATGGAAGGGGGACTTATGAAGATGCACACTTCCCTTCATCAGGCCTAGGTAAAAAACAGTTGCATATTTATATAACAAATCTATTATATAAATTGCATACTGTGGACAAATTAATCACTCTCCTAAATATCTTATAATTATAAAATGAATTGGAAAATCTAACTTTGTCCATGCCAACTCATGATTTTTTTGCCCAGGTTTTTCAGCTAGAACATCTATTTTCATAAATTTTCTGAAATGTCGTGCTTACCCTTTGAGATGTTTCTTGATGATGCGTTTTGTGGCAAATGTTGCATGACTCATACTCATTAGTGTGTTAGCGGTGGATATAACACTGAGGAGGTGCTGGGTGGTGACGCCACTGGATATCTGCCACCGAGCCTTGCTAGAAAATATCTTCATCTCCTGTTGTTGGAAACTCTCCTTCCCTAATATGGCGCCGTCAGACGCACGTTTGGACAATGGACGCTGTTCATTCTCTAAGTCACTATCTGTTGTATAATCACCACTTAACAGGTTACGTTCTATTTCATTGTAGGATGCTGACCTTGCCTGCTGTTTCAAGGTCACCTTTCCTTTTCCTCTGCCACGTATGGCTGCATTCTGTGGTTCAGGCATGCCCATTTCTTCGTGGCAGACTTTCTTGTGCCATCCTGGTAGCATAAGGGACATGTGGCCACTTCTAGATATGAGTCCAAATGATATAGGACATCGTGGCTTCAGCAGGCCTAGTTTATTAATACACAGCTTGTCAAGGTCGGGATCGAGACCCCAGGCATGGAGGCACGACATAAACAACTGAGCAATCTCCATAGTAAGATTGGAGTCGACCTGTCCTGAAATATTTATTTTTGGTGATCCCCTGCGCCCCATACTAGGGGACTCCCGGGCACTTGCTGTAGGAGAGTAACTCATTCCAGATGGATCAACCTTGCCTTGAATTTTCTGTCCAACACTGTCTGCTTTCTCTTTGATCTTTGCCATCACACCTATAAAGGGTACACACATAAATCAAATGTTAGAACATGTATATAGAGGGCCTCTGTTGCATTTCTGTAACCGCTATGACTTTTATCACTAGCAGAGATAATTGTGCAATTGTAGAATACTGTCAGCATAGGTTTGTTTATGAAAAGAAACTCAACCATGTTAAATCATGAGAGAACAAAATACCTTCAACACAACCTCTACAACAATCAAACGATAACCTTTATTATGAGAAGTTCTTTTTACACAACAAATAAAGTGTTCTATGTGACGTTTCGATGACTAGTACGATATGTACACTGTCACCTTCATCAGACAAATGACCAGTGAAGCGTATGCACACAAAGGTGTAAAATGTGTACGAGCTGTCCATAAAATCGATGTCGATTTCGGCTATGCTGGAAACGTATGTACAATAGTTGTTATATATGTACCGAAATGACTCGATTCAGCATCGCTTTGTTAACACATGGTCATAGATGTGCGAGAGTCTTTGAGCCCCCTCGTCTCGATTTAGAACTGGACCACTGTGGCGTATCCAGATGGCTTCCTTTATCTACCGCTTGAACAGATTGCTCTCTCTGTCCAAAAATTTTGAGTTATCCCAGTCAATCATATGGTTACCGGGTAAAAGATAACCTCATAGACTTACCAAGTAAACACACCATACACGCAAAAAATTAAATTCAGTACACTATATAAACACATTTATATACAATATATTACATTTTATTTGCAACTGTTCGTTTTGTAAATAAATGACCATATCAAAACATATTTTGTTGGAATCCTTTTGCTCGAGCTTAATCCAAAATATGCCTAAACATTTGTATGATATATTTGATTTGATCAGATCTATAATGTCAGTTTTAATTATTAGACATAAGTTTGATACCACAGCATATGAGATATTAAGATCATTATAATTCTATCACATTAACGGAATATTGTTACATACTGTAAGATGTGGATTTTACACCATCAGACCAAATGGCTGTTTATGACAACAAGACTACAGATACATAAACGGTATCAACCCTATCACCCACACAGGCACTTGAGGAACAGCTGAACACACCTGATCTTTCAGATTTCTATAACAATACACCATAGATGCATGTTTTTGATGAAGTGCAATTCAGCCATTTTCATAGTACAGTTGAATTTAGTTTTTTATCATGCATACTTATCTTTTTGTCTATCATTGACTGTTTATAAATGTTGATTGTAGCAAGTATTTGATCAAACATTATTTCTAACTCCATACCAAACATTAGAGATTGAGTAACTCGAATATTCAGATAACTTAAAGTTTTCCACGATATCGCTGACTTCAAACATAATGAAGTTCAAATGACATTATTTATCGAAAAAGTGCTAACTTGAAACTGAAAGTTTATCAATTAAGCTATTTATATGATAAACATTCAAAAGGCAAACAAAATGTCCAGAGAAATATTATTATGGTTAACACTTTCAGTAATATATATATGATCTGATGTACATCCATATTTCAGGTAAGATTTATGAAACAAGTCAAAGAATTTTTCATTTAGCAAGCCACTGCTAAGCTACATATGAAAATTGTGACAAGCTTCATAAATCTCATCCTAGGTTACAATGTACGTATAAACAGCAAGAATGCAACATAAATCAACAGTTACTCAAAAAGTTTTCAATCTTGAAACTGATAAACCAGACTGAATCCAACAAGATCCCAAGTTCCTGTGATCATCAGGACAACATAAGGTGAGGATGGAGGGTCCTGACAAACCTGATATTTTGGCCTGGGCTTCACTTATGTCCCCACTAGGGGTATCTGTTGGTCCAGAGGAGAAAAACCCCTTTGCCTCAAGCTCTCCCGGCGACATCAGGGCATATTCGTCAGTAAGCAGCTGGACTGTTTAGAAAATAGGGGAGACAACCCATCACAAGGGAGGTAACAATACAAAACCTATTACCATCATGCACTGAAGTTGGGCAGCAGTCTGTCAGACTTACCGACAAAATATCTGTTTGTTCTTAACTAATTTACTTAAAGTTAAATGAAATACTTGTGCGATCCTAAATGAACAAAATACCAGTTTGATCCAAGCAAATTTTAAAGAAATTGTGAATTAGTAGGTATGACCTTTATAACCCTTACAAATCAATGCGACTTAAGTTTAAACAACATCTGATTTAATCTCATTGAATTTCTATGAGATTGTAAAAATTACCTGTGTGACCTTGCTTGTATTTTATGAACTAAATCAAAATACCACATAACACTCACTAGGTTACTCATCAAATCAGGCCACATAGCCCTTGATTGATTACACATTCACAGGACTTATAAGCCTTGCTAATTTACATTCATTGATCTAACCTTAGATACATATATAAACTGTACCAGTACTTCCTGTAAAATCATATTCTTATAGTATTTTTTAAGAAAGAAAAAACCTGCTTGCTCAAAACATCACTGTCTCTTGACTAGCAGGCAGTGTTTCATAGTAAATATGTACATATCATACTATCACTTGTAAAATAGCACAGATTTTATTATCTTTCAACACTCTTGTCTTAAGACGGAACTTTTACTATGAGTTACCGAACAGTACAAACATGGTCAGGAGAGGTAGGAGTTGTCGTGCAAGGGAGTATGACCCTTTGGGACCAATCTGTGGCAAAAAGTTATAACAATCATGCAATATCTTTAAAAAAGCATGCAAACATATTGTCTTCTCAATAAGCAGGTGAAATCCGGTCTTGTTTCATATTAAAAAAATGTATTTAGTAGATATTGTTTGAACCTGCCAGCTTTTACCTGTACTCCTAGACCAAATGTGAATTGTATTTTCAACCATATTTCTGACACTTCAATAATAATCTGTTTAACTGATATGGATATATAGTTAACAGAAAAGCGTGATACTATACATTAGGAACTCAATCATCTGTCGTGTACTAGTTCTGTTTTCGTTTAACCACTCTTTCCATTTTTTGTACATATGTATTCCATCTGGTACATAAACCTATGGCAGCCTTCATATCTAACTGGTCTATAAACTCACAATATCTGCCCTGCCCATCCTGTATGCTGTCTACCTATGGGATCCTCTACATCACCTCCCTAGCCCGTCCCCTACACCTGGCTTTCACTCAGGACATCATCTGTTTCACCTTCATACAGAATTCCCAATTTTAGGTCAATCATCTCCCGAGCCCCTCCCCTTTTTCATGTAACCCACCAATGAGAGACTCTGTATCAAAGAAGATGATGTGGGCGTCTGGATTCCGGGTGTTGGTCCTCACACCCTGTATGTACATAGGGTAAGACTGGGGTTTGACAAGGTCACATCGGGCCCCTTGTGCCTGTTGTTGTTGAACCATCTGCTGCTGTAGTTTCTGTTGAGCCAGGTTTTTGAAAGTCAAAAGATTACGGCGTTTGATGGCCTGGGCTAAGGTAAGGTTGGGATTAATGAGTTGGTCTGTGGGAGCAGCGTGCTCATCACAGTTATTGAGGATTTCTTCTGCTGTGAGGCCATGGACTACTCGGTCTAGGTGTCCTGCAGGAGAAAAAGGTCAGTTTTAAAAGTTCAGTCAAATATGTTTACATTGTTTACATACATTGCTACGTTATTATTTCCCCTAATTTGCTAACTAAAGGATGCATCACATCCAGCTTGAGTGATATCTAATGATTATCTCCTACTCAGATATTAAGATTTGTCCTAAATATTCTAGTTTCATAAATCCCACCTGACATGGAATTCATTTAAGATTTTCCATTCACAATGCATCTTAAACTTGTAAAACAGATTTTCAACATATTTTGGTAAAACAGTATTAGATATGCATATCTCTTCCTATATTGAAGAGATATGCATATCTAATACTGTTTTGCTGTAAGAGATAAGGTACTGATCCAGACATATACCTGTTTCCATCTGCCAAACATACACCGTGCCATCAGAACAGCTCACCACCATGAAATCATCCAGAGGGCGCCACTTTATGGTTTGTACGGGAAATAGGTGGCGACCAGCTAGCATGATACACTTTCTCTCCTTTAGACTCAGGAGAGTTACTGAATGGTCACTTGCCACGGAGCATATAGATGATAAAATTCTTGTCTGAAAGTATGAAATGGTAAGAATATATTAAGAAGTTTATTATAAATTCACATACAATGTAATAATACAGTCAGACTGAGGAATTATTTCAAAAGTTTTGCTTTTAAAAATCATAAGTTTATTTCACAGTGAATACCTACAATATTTAAGTAAATCATTTTCAGTTTTCAAATTTCTAGGTATGATATATAGATGACTTACATTGCAGGTACAAGGTGGAACAATAAGCTGATTTATCTCCCCTCCGTGCACCGTAAAAGTGTGTAGTTTTAATCCGGAGTACATGTCCCACAGCATCACAGAGAAATCTGCTCCACCAGAGAGTAGGTGGTTGGGTTCATATCGAGAACTGTCGTTAAACGGGTACAATAGGCATGTCACTCGGCCGTCATGGCCTCTCAGAATACGAACGGTGATGTCTGAAATCAAAACAAAGCATACATTTTCAGACAGAAATACCAGACAAAGGTGAACAAGTAGTAACAATGTTAAGACACATTATGGCAGATTTCCTGTGGCCTGAATTAACATCATTTGTATCTTATGTTAAGAAATTGAAATGTAGAGGTACTAGTAAGGATAAACAACAATGGATATCTTCAGATGGTCATTAAGCATGACAATGTTGTACAATTGATAACTGTTACAGTCAGATTACCTTGATAACACTTATCCATAAAACTGAATTCACAGAAGTTAACTGATCTTCAATCACATTTTCACCAAAAATTATTTATTCCTGACTTTCCCCCCAGAAAACAAATATTAAATACAGATTCACAAAGCTCACAAATATTATTGGACAATGTCATTTGCAATGTTATGTCGCCCTGACAACACAGTATCTCTTGCCAGTTGATAATTGGTCATTATCATTTCTATTGGATCAAAGAATATACCTGTTACGTCGTTATGACTACGTGTTGAAATTGTCCTTTAAATGTTGTACAATGTCACAATAGCACATCGAGCGTGTAAATAAAAGGATTTAAAAAGTCAATCACATACAACGTCTCCACAATGAATTCTTTTCAATATCTATCACCCGGAACAGGTGTGTTCCTTCACAATGGACCTTTAAATTTCAAACAATCACCCAGCTTGTGATCAGTCATTGAAGTAATAATGATACCACTCACCATCTTTATCAATCTTAAAGTCGAGAAGCTGGGTGATGATACTCTGGGTGGCTGGTGCTATGACGATGCTACCATCCTCCCTGCCACATGCAACCTTGCCTTGTGACGGGATGTAGATTGTTGATGTGATATGGAGTGGTCTCCCTTCCTCGTCACACTGAAAGTTCAAAATCAGGTAGAATGTGCAATCATTTCTATTAACATTATTTTATTATATACAACTAAAGAAAAACTACAAAATCTAACAGGCATATAATTTATATATTCAATATGTAATAATGTAACTACGTATGACAGCAAAACATCACGTTTTGAGCAATCTATTGTGTTAGTAACAGCTAGTAACTGATAGATGTTACTGTTGACAACTTACCAGTCCATCAATGATACCAGAGGGAGGCTGGTAAAGACTATCCCACACTTCCTGTAGTGTTGTGCTGCATCGCGGGGGCAAGGCTGGACAAAGGTCAACAATGTCGAAAAGTTATAATACATATTTAATCAAACAAAGAATTCTAACAAAATAATTATCATTAATAATATGAAAATCCTTAACCCTTGTTATGGCAGGGTTTATCTTTTAAAGAAACATGTGTCTTTAATGGGAATGAGACCAGAGAAGAAAAAGAATAACTAGTGCAATAATTATATTAAATCAATTTACAAAGAGCAAAATAGACACTGAAGCCCAGTATATATGTAGGTCATAGATAGTGATATTTCAATTTAAAACTAGAAACTTGTGTTTGTGAACAAAAACATATGTCTCCTCTAATTAGACAATAGACCAACTTCGGTATAAAAAATTAAAAAGGGCCATATCTCTTTATATAGTGGGGCACGAGACCCGAATTTATCTCTTTATATAGTGGGGCAAGAGACCCTAAATTTAGAATGCGACACTCCTACTTCACAAGATACATAACTATAGCAAGTTTGGTCAACGTAGGTGAAATAACATGAAAGTTATGCCTTGGACAAACTTCGGTATTGAAAATAAACAAAGGGCCATAACTCTATATATAGTGGGGCACAAGACCCGATTTTAGTGCGAGAGATTCCAACTTCCCAAGATACATAACTACAGCAAGTTTGGTCAATGTAGGTGAAATAACATGGAAGTTATGCCGTGGACAAACTTCGGTAATAAAAATAAACAAAGGGCCATAACTCTATATATAGTGGGGCACGAGACCCAATTTCAGTGCGAGATATTCCAACTTCCAAAGATTAATAAATATGTCAAGTTTGGTCAACGTAGGTGAAATAACATGGAACTTATGCTCCAGACAAACTTCGGTATTAAAAATAACAAAGGGCCATAACTCTACATATAGTGAGGCACGAGACCTAATTCTAGTGCACTGCACACCTTCTTTGGGTGATGCAGGTATACTTCAAGTTTGATCAAGATATCTTTAATGGTTTGAAATTTACGGGCCGGACAATAAGTTAATGAAAATGTTGCCCTTTGACCTTGAGGTGAAGATCACAGTGACCTACTTCCAGTGCACTGCACACCTTCTGTGGATGATGTAGGCATACCTCAAGTTTCATCAAGATATCTTTAACGGTTTAAAATTGATGGCCCGGACAAGTTGAGATAAGAAGAACCAGAACTAATACAATATGTCTCCCTTCATTCGAAGGGGAGACATAACGATCAGCTGACATTATGGATAACTTTACCTGGAAGGCGGTCAAAACTCTCCTGTCTGACCAAAGTCATTTGTCGTTCAGTCACTGTAGGTAGTGTCCATGCAACTAGCTGACCTTCCGAGTCGCCACGGATCAGGATCTGAGTGGGATTCTCCTCGTGACCTTGGTGAAAGGTCATGACTGGCGCACAGGCCATAGACTGTCACAAACAAAAAGACATAAACCATAAATTTACATGATGTCAAAGTCTACCTATTTATCTTCCCAACATCTAGAAATGTCAATATTCTAACTTACAATTAGTCAAAAGGATTTTAAATTCCCTGGGATTATATCAAATAGATAGTTTTAGGTCTAGAACACTTAACAGCTATTCAAGCCCCAGTGATGATATAATATAATCCCTCTACGGATATTGACATATCCCATGTTTGACATATCCCATGTTTGTCATATCCCTTGTTTGACATATCCCATGTTTGACATATCCCATGTTCGACATATCCCTTGTTTGACATATCCCTTGTTTTGACATATACCTTGTTTGACATATCCCATGTTTGACATATCCCATGTTTGACATATCCCTTGTTTGACATATCCCTTGTTTGACATATCCCATGTTTGACATATCCCTTGTTTGACATATCCCTTGTTTGACATATCCCATGTTTAAATGTGTTTTGAAATAGAAATTTAGTTAGATATTTAAATACATTTTGTAATAAACGCATGTAATAATCAATTGGACATCTATTTCTCTAGGCGTATAAAAAGATATCTGATCAATTTAAATACATATGTTCTGCAATATGTATGAAATTAAGAGTGTTTTCAGAATTATAATACATTGTAAGTATGAGGTAGTAGGTAGGAGAAGGTTACCAGCTCTGAGTACATGTCGAGTATGTAGTAGGCGTGAGGGGCTGATGGCTGATGACTCTGGCGATGGTAGTCAGGACTTTCTGGTGTGGCACTGTAAACAACGTCAAACCAACACTGTACATCTTAAGTGGCTGGTTTGTGGAAACAGTCAAATCAAACTGAGACTCCTTGGTGGAGACTGGTCTCCCAGATGTCTGCCTGGATTAGCAGATTGTTTTAATAGTGACTAGATTACCAAGGTTTAATTGAACATCTGGGACATCAAACTATGAACTGAAGTTATATTTTTGTAAATTACATATCTATTTGTTTAGTTCTATTACGGCACAATTCTTGTCTAAGGGGTGGAGGCTACCAAAGCTTGAAGCTATCTATACAATCTCAATGCCTTAGTGAGATATCGGGTCTTGTTTCAGTGATTTCATTTAAACCAAACCTTTTTTTTTTAATAAGAAAAGGAATGAATATTCATTTAAAATAACATTTATAGCACTGTAAACATATATATGGATAGATCTTTACAACTATCAATTTCAATACAGTTCAAATATCTTTTACAGATTTTTCCATGCTTTTATATTTCAGATTGGTAACAATTTTTGTTAATAAAGTATAGTTAATGATTTTTTTTCCAATCTAGTGAATTCAAAATTGTAGCTTATGAAGAAATAAGAAAGCAATGTTGATAAAGCATATATTTACAACAATACAAGCCAGGGAGAAATCAAAGGCAGTAATGCTACTTAAAGTCAGGCAAAAATCAACAGAGAAATGGAAGCAAATTTTAGTGAGAAATATATACCACACACTTAGCAATGCAGTGATTCTTTACCAATAAACATTAAATGTCCCCTCATATATGTCAATGAAAAATATTTTAACGAACCCAAATTCCATTTATGTACTGATAGTTCTTAAAATCATACAAATTCTAAAATAAAGCTACAGTAGAAATATTTGAAACTTCACAAATATTGCTGTCGGTAATATAAAGGGAAATAACTCTTTTAGTATGACAGACGATTTTAAAGCCTCATTTCTTTTCTTTATTTTAAACGATGTGACCATAGAAGCTGTAGAATTTACGAAAACTTTTGTTGAGTAAACATTTGCTAATGTATCTCTGTTTTATTTACTAGCTTGTCAACTAGGTCGTAAAGGTATCACATACCTACAATAATATCCATACTATATGGCATTATATACAAAGTCGTGGAAATAATTCAATTGTGATGTCATTGTGAGATTGCTAGATGACTTTACAGTGAAGGCTAGTATGTGTAGTTTAGTTAACATCAGGCAGTTTGTTCAAACCAATCACAAATCACACAGCTATAGTGCCAAAGGCCAAAATATAACTTGAGTATGTGGTATCACGTTTCCACAAATGATACAAATCTGATTAACTAAAAGCTGTACTCAATAATAGAATGTATTGTATTTGGTATTGTGTTTCCAGTGTGATTATTCAATAATAGAACTTGACCTATTTTGTATCTTGGTTCTAATGTGATTATTACAAATGATCGGAGTCTGGTGAGCTTAATGCTGTAGCCAATAATAACAATATGAACTTGAAGACTGTAACATAAAATGTGTTTCTATTGCAAATGCTGTACATCTGTTGTAACAAAATATCAATTAAGCAAGGCAAATATAGCAAGGGCTACATACAGTACTTCAATTCATACAATTTTGGATCTGGTAAAAATCATTATCGTGATTAACATCTACATTGGGAGTACATGATTGTATTATTTATCTTTTATTCAATCATTCTATTTTTTTTTTAATTTCATATTAGATATTTCTTTGAAGCATGGATAAGAAAATAAAACAATGTTAACATGTATTAGAATTAGACATATACAGCTTGTATATAAAGTCAAATCGTTTGATGCATAACAGATCTTACATCTGTGCAGAATTCAGGCAGCAATATCACAGCTTATACATATATAAAGGAAAAGATTCAGCAAACTTAGAAACATATCCTATACTTTTAGGAATATTTTGCAAATGCTGTTAGTACGTTTAATTCAACATCATTCAAACAAGCGCTGATCTGACCTAGTCTTAAGGCAGTGGGTACTTACTTCATGTGGGTATTGATTTGTGTTACATCACAACTGTAAATTTACATGAAAAGAAACGTAAACTGAATTACAATAATTTGAAGAAGGATGCCTGTTCAATCTGCAGGTGAGAAGAATTACATGACTTTCAGATAACTTTCTTTGTCAAGTCATTCTTAAGCCAAAATATACAGCATAAAATATGTCTGCATCTTCCAGCGTTACCAATTCTTTTATCGACCAAGCATGTCAGCTTTTCACCCAAAAATATATATGACCATTTATAAATTATGTTCAAGAGATATTTTCAAATGATTTTTATTGAATAAAATGGCTGATCAAAAGGATAACTTATTCAAATACGACAAGGCAGTGGTTGTAAAGCATTATGTGACCCTGATTACCTCCCCTTTTTCTAGTTTTCCTGGACCTTGACTTTGCTATGGGGATGAAGTTATAGAACAATCATATAATGTGCCACACTGTCCTACAGGTGATCACTAGAAATATAGAGGATATCAAACTATTTCCATTACAAAGTTATTAAATCTTAATTAAACAAGCTCATATTTTTTTTAAAAAGACAGTAAAATGAGACTGACTTTGAATCCTGCTTACCAAGATTTAATCAATTTATACAAATATTGGATAGATTGAGGCACAATTCATTATAGACTTATATTCCCAACAAACAATGACACTATTTAAACAGAGGGATGTGTGTCATTCCTCAAATTGCCTCTGGTAGCAATTAATAAATTAAAGATTTTCCCCCCTTTATGACAGCTTGATCAAAAGCTTCTCCATTTCCGGAAAGAAAATGGCAAAAACTAAATAATTACATATAGTTTTCACAATGCGAAGTTGTAAAATACCTACTTTTTGATAGATCAAGACATACTTTTTGATAGATCAAGCCATATTTCTAACTACCAGAAATATAAATGAAAAATAAACCAAAATTAAAAAGCAACCAGGAACAAAGAAAAAAAAATCAATAAAGAGTATCAGAAGATATTAACATGATCTACAAGAAATAATGAAGATGTTACTGAGTTTGTAGCTTAAGATTGAATATACACTACATACCAGGATCCCTGTACCACTGCCAAAATAATTAATTATACATCCAAAACTAACTAGAGCTGTCGCCAGGATGGCTGACTAATACCCCCGCTTCCGCTAAGTTATGTTTATTTGAGAGTTATACTTCAAAGTATTTAGCAGGATGAATAATATTTTTGTTAAAGGGGCATAACTCCATCCAAAAGGGTCGAAATCCCAAATTAAAATGCCGATGCACAACTACAAAAGATACGGATCATTCATGCAAAGTTTCAATGAAATCCACCTGTTAGTTAAGGAGGAGTTTTCCGGACAAGTTACTGCGGACTACAGACAGACATCAAGACAGGGGGATTCCAGTATAACCCCCCCCCCCCCCTAACTTCGTTGTGGGGGTATAATAATAATAATTTTAGGGAATTTCTATAACTTTGATAAATCATTTTTGAAAAGAAAAGTATACCTTGCGGGACTTAAATAAAAACATAATGAAAACACAAATGGAGATGAAATAAACAAAAAAAAATAAAAAAAGTTCTTGATGCAAAAACACAGCGTTTGCTAAAGAAGGATTGGAACCCGGACTTCAAATTCTTATACTGTCGGACCAACTGTCGGACCAACTGTGCTACAGTTCTATCTTAAGCGAGATTAAGGGGAGGTCACTGCATATACTAAAAACAATGGTGCAGTGGGACAGGGACCCTTAAAGCATTATATTTGCATGTTGAGTTGGAGTTACCCCCTTTAAGTTTCATAACTCTGGTCCATATCACATTGTGATACCAATTATAAATAAATCAAACAAATGCATCGTACCATTCAAAAGAGGAACAGTAGAGGTTTCCTGGGAAATGCATTTCAGCGAAACACAATGGAACCATTTTGGAGGGAAAACCATCTCATCGTAACACAATAAAATGTCTAAACAACACAAACATTAATGTCTGGATTATAGATAGCAAAGTCTAAGTTTCTTAATTCGACAAGATATTTTTCAATGAAATAATCATTTATTGAATTCACTTCAAATATGAGTAGTCCATATTTATTAATTTCAAAATGATGTGCATTTTCAAGATTTCCCTTATAATGCAAAGCACATTTTAGTGAACATAGTGAAATCAGAATATTTTCATTTGACTAAAAGCATAAGTCTGATGATTTTTTTTTGATTTTTTTTTGATTTTTATAATTTTCTAATAATTTTTTAATTTTAAAGTGAAAATTGGTTGTATAATCAAATCAATACATTTCACAGGGGTTCCAAATGACTACTACAGAAAAGTTAAAATCAAATGCTTTTAAATACATGTTTATTAATGACATTCCAGAAATCAAAGTTTAAGGTTTGAAAATAAATAAAATTAAACTGAGTGACTAATTTAACTAAACTGAAGAAGGATTTGACACTTAGTCCTTTTGAATAATTAAGTTAAAATGACTGTGCAGCAACGACAACAATGACACATGCAGGTATTTGTTAATGACAGCCACTGTATTTCCCTTTACCTGGGTATCACCTTGCCCCTCAGAAGGCTTGTAAAGGAAAAACAGCCAAAATTATCTACTGTTTTTTTTCTCTCTCTAAATACATTTGTATCTTTGAATTTACAATGTTCTTTGTTTATACATGTAATTAATAAAAAGAATACAATTTTGGTCCATCAGTTATTGCTTCATGTACATATATATACATGTATTGTGTATATTAGCCCATACAAGTTGATAGAGTAAGATGAAAGGTCTAGAAAACACTAGTTTGATCTGGTTAATAATATAAATTGATATTCATGAAAGCTTCAAAAACATTCATGGCTTGATGAAATTACATGAGAGTGATTTACTTTTTTGCTAGAAAGAATACAATTATACAATTACATAATTCATTCTTTGAGTTCCAATATGTTCTTGCATTAGTAAAAGATTGTTGCTAATGAAAAGTTAAAGCAGAAAAAACCCTCAGTGTCTAGAATAAAATACTGCTTTGATCAGAAGTAAGAATCTTTCACAGACTCATAATGAGAGTTTTTTCTCTGCATGTCCAAAATCTTTTCCTAGCCTCAATAATTAGCCATAATAGATAGCTAGCTTAAATAAAGTAAAAAATGGATAGAATTATTTAAAAGATCAGCAAACCAAAGTCGGCAAGGAGTAAATTTCTCTCTTCATCACTATATTACATGTCCTTCCTCTATCGTTTGTGGAAAGGAAATTACATGATTGACTGACTAACATATATTCAATGTGCCCATATTTAGAAGGTGTGTGACCATGACAACAACTACAAAAATTAAATCAACATTTTTCTACAAATTTAACTGAAAATTGTTTGAAATTTTGGGATAAATGTTGTACAATTTAGTAATTCGAAAATAATAGTGGGTAAAGAAAATTAATGATTGATATAAATTAAGAAACAAATTATTAATCCCTTTTATTTACACAAACAATGTCAACTTATACTCCCTCTTGAACTCATTCACCCCTGAAGACACACTTTAACTATTCTACTTCATATGTTGGAGTAGTTCATTATGAAATTTTAGGGGTAAATGAGTTAAGGTCGAATTATTTGGTTCATAATAATATTCTAACTGTAATTTTTCAAGATTTTTTTTATATTCTAGAATGTATTTTTTTCTCACGTCTGTGTGTGTAAGGTGGAGATCTTGAGTGTAAGAAAGCAGTGACGTAGGGGTGCAAGAAATGGCTTCATTTGTGACACATTTCATGACTATGTGACGTCATGTTTTCAGGCAGAAGTCATCATAAAAATGATTCAAGTTTGATTCAAACTTCCCAAACTTTCTGTAGGGCTGCAGGGAGAACACACTAACTGTACAATAGGGTTTGTTCTCATTTAGATATGTTATATTAATCAATTATACAATGGAAGGGGAGCTGGACAGCAGTGACAGCCTATTTAAGTCCTCTCTTTAGCTTTCTTAGCATTTACCATGATACTCTACAACCTACCAGTAAACATTGGAAATATCAAAAGAATTCAAAAGACTGCTAAAACAAGAAGTTTTGTTTGTGTACCAGTTATGAGAAAATAGTTTATTTAGATGTGGATAATGTTGTGGCAGTAAGCTATACAATGTAAGCTTATCTAAGGTGATTTATTAAATTTTGTCGAAGGAAATTACAAATTTCCAGACTATTTTAGTGAGGAAAGTTTTGTCAAAAGAATTTAGAGTGGATGTATTTTAACAAGAGTTTATATTGTTATGTTTTTGTATTAGGAAGTTGGCCCGTTTCAGGGCTGATAGTACACTAAGTTAGACCTATTAAGTATTTATCACAGGATGTTAGACTGATGACTTTATCAGTGTGTATGATGGCTCTATGGTGAGTGGCACCATTACTATGTAAGTAAGGCGGAGTATTTAATTCCTGGAGTTTCGTTGGTTCTGTGACTTTTATTACTGACGTTCTAATGGTTATATGGTGGGTGACATGCTAGTTCTATGGCAGATAAACTAATTTCTGGAGTTTTGATGGTTCTATGAATCTTTAACAGAAAACAATCAGCATGCAAAAAAACACACACATTTACAGAAACGATACTCAGAGCTTCTTGATACAAGACTTATTCAGTATTATTACCCATGGTTATAACATGATCCAGAACGGGGAAGTTTAACATAGTGATTAGTTATGGAGATAGTGTACCTTGGTAGGTAAATTGTACAGGTATGTATACTTACTCTGTAGGTAATTTGTACATGTATTTATATACAGGTATGGTAACTTACTTGGTAGGTAATTTGTACAGGTATTTATATACAGGTATGGTCACTTACAAGTACTTGGTAGGTAATTTGTACAGGTATAGTAACTTACTTGGTAGGTAATTTGTACAGGTATCCCTTGCCCTCATTACTCCATACAATGACCTTGTCCACGCTAACGAAGTCACCACCTGACCACCTCTCCCCACACCTGTTCGACTCGGAACATAAATTGGTGAAGTCTCCAGCGTCATATATCTGGAAAAACATCAAACAAAGTGTCTTTATGTCCAATTTCGATTTATATCTCATAAATTAAATTTAAAATACTAACAAAATCTTGTTCATGCAAATTCTGCTGTCAGTTTTCTAGAAAATCTATTTCTGTGTCATGTTCTCTGGTTTTCATTTCCTCTAGATCTGTGGTTTTCATTTTATCTGTTTATGGATTACAAGAGTATTTCAAACTTTATTTAAATTTTTACATTATTGTGTGAAGTTTTAGTACATATTGGTATACAGCATTGCTGATTAATGCCACTGTTTACATATTTGTTACACTGCAAATGAAGATGTAAGGAAGTTTATTGGTAAATCACTCACCTATGATTATCTATATTGTAATCAAAGAGGCATTTAATATAAACACCTGACCCTAAACATTACAGTGTAATTAGCTCAGGGCAATAACTCAAACTGGACCTGCATATGTATATTGTCTGATGACAACAATTTCACTTCAAAAACGATCAATTTCATAGTCATAATTCGTGTGTTTATTAGCTATATGCTGATACATACACAGTTGTTCTAAGTGTAGGTGTTAACATAACTTGTGAAAACTGAACGCAAATAATGAAAAAATTACACATATCTGAAATATAATAGTTGTAGTAAACTTGACTAGTACACGACATCACATTGACTTATAGAATTCCCTGGTGTATCAATAATACTGTTTATTGGGAGTTAAGGATCCCTGTAACACTGCTGGCACACTTAATTTAAGGATCCCAGTTCCACCGCTAGCACACTTAATTTAAGGATCCCAGTCCCACCGCTAGCACACTTAATTTAAGGATCCCTCTCCCACCGCTGGCATACTTAATTGAAGGATCCCAGTCCAACCGCTGGCACACTGAATTTATAGATTCCTCTCCCATCGCTAGCACACTTAATTTAAGGATCCGTCTCCCACCGCTGGCACACTTAATTAAATGACCCCTGTCCTACCGCTGACACACTTTATTTCTTGTATACAACTTCAGGGCAACTGGGCCAGGATACTTCCACTGACCAGGTGGCTTTGCTGGTTAGAGAAACATCAAACTGATCTGAGGGCCAGGATACTTCCATTGACCTGGTGGCTTTGCTGGTTAGAGAAACACCAAACTGATCTGAGGGCCAGGATACTTCCATTGACAAGGTGGCTTTGCTGGTTAGAGAAACATCAACCTGATCTGAGGGCCAGGATACTTCCATTGACAAGGTGGCTTTGCTGGTTAGAGAAACACCAAACTGATCTGAGGGCCAGGATACTTCCATTGACAAGGTGGCTTTGCTGGTTAGAGAAACATCAACCTGATCTGAGGGCCAGGATACTTCCATTGACAAGGTGGCTTTGCTGGTTAGAGAAACATCAACCTGATCTGAGGGCCAGGATACTTCCATTGACCTGGTGGCTTTGCTGGTTAGAGAAACACCAAACTGATCTGAGGGCCAGGATACTTCCATTGACAAGGTGGCTTTGCTGGTTAGAGAAACACCAAACTGATCTGAGGGCCAGGATACTTCCACTGACCAGGTGGCTTTGCTGGTTAGAGAAACATCAACCTGATCTGAGGGCCAGGATACTTCCACTGACCAGGTGGCTTTGCTGGTTAGAGAAACATCAAAATGATCTGAGGGCCAGGATACTTCCACTGACCAGGTGGCCTTGCTGGTTAGAGAAACATCAAACTGATCTGAGGGCCAGGATACTTCCACTGACCAGGTGGCTTTGCTGGTTAGAGAAACATCAACCTGATCTGAGGGCCAGGATACTTCCATTGACAAGGTGGCTTTGCTGGTTAGAGAAACACCAAACTGATCTGAGGGCCAGGATACTTCCACTGACCAGGTGGCCTTGCTGGTTAGAGAAACATCAAACTGATCTGAGGGCCAGGATTCTTCCATTGACCAGGTGGCTTTGCTGGTTAGAGAAACATCAACCTGATCTGAGGGCCAGGATACTTCCATTGACAAGGTGGCTTTGCTGGTTAGAGAAACATCAACCTGATCTGAGGGCCAGGATACTTCCATTGACCTGGTGGCTTTGCTGGTTAGAGAAACACCAAACTGATCTGAGGGCCAGGATATGTTTACATTGTTGTTATAATTTTTTGTATTAATTTTATCTTTTTACTTTTTTTTCATAAAAGTCCCACGAGATATGCTTTTCTTTTAAGAAATTATGTGAAAGCTATAGCCAAGCCAGAATATTTTTCTAAAGCATAGCTACACTTTCTGGCATTGATCCTGCGTATCCTTAGAAGACCAATATGTATACAGTATACCCAAATACATTTTTTTTTTGTGTTTTACATCCTATTTACAGCTATGGTCATTTAAGGACGTGCCAGCTTTTGGTGGTGGAGGAAAAACGCAGATCCCAGGGAAAAACCAACAACCTACGGCCAGTACCTGGTAAATGCACCATGCATGTAGATCTCGAACCCACGACCCAGCGGTAGAGGGCTAGTAGCGGAATGTCAAATGCCTTAACCACTCCCTCCCCCGGCGCTAAGTTCAACTTGAGCTAGAAACAAGTGAATTGACATTATACTTGGTCAATAAACACATGTATGTGATTTCCCTTGGACTTATAAGGTTAAAACTTAATCCTTTTCAAAAATATTATCAGCTATTGAATGGGAAATACAATGAAAATCTTCAAAATATATGCGTAAGAAATTAACCATTATTACTTCTCCCTCATTTTTACCTGCCTTACCCATCTCTCTTGCATACAAAAACAACATATAATATTTCTTTCGAATTTCCTTTTTGTTCCATGAAAAAAATATATTGCCCATTGGTATGAGGTTTTTGTGAAAGGGTGAAGATTAATCATTGACCAATCTCCTCATGGGCCCTGTATGGATAATTTGATAGTGAGATTTTCTACAACATTATATTAAATAATAATCTTTCTTTATGCTTTGTTTTCTTTAATTTGCTATTAATACTTAAAATGTAATCTTTAAATGATGATTCCTCAATAAACAAGCTTAGAAAGAGCTCAGAATTATTCTAAAACCATGTCAAGATGATCCAAAATGACTCCAGAAATATGACAACAGATACATATACCCACCGACAAACGTGTTACTACATGTACATCAGCCGAGACCAACTCTATCAACTATGGCTGTAAGTATATCTCTACAGTGAGTTCTAACACATGTTCACATCAGGAGGATTTTAATCTAGAGCAGCAGTGCATCAACTAAACCAGCTTTTCCATCACTAGTCATTGTAAAGATGTGCAGAGTTAACTCATTCGCCCCTGAAACTTCAGAATGAACTATTCCAACCTTTGAATTGGAAGAGTTCAAATGTGTCTTCAGGGGTGAATTTTAATGAGAAGAAGCTGACATTGTAAAGACAATATCCTGTACCCCATATGTAGATTGATATATATAACCATTTTTGTTTAATTACAAGGAAATAAGAGTACATCTGGATACACAGTATTTAGATAGACACATATACAGCTTGTTTTGATTTAGCGATCAACAACACTGCCTTAGAATCACTACACATGAACCCAACTTGATTTTTGGTGTGCCAGTGAAGCCACTAAATTTCCAGGCAGCAAAGTTTTTAATGAAAGGCAAATATAGGCAAGATATATATGGTAAATGGTATGAAAAGATGAGGGAGCAAAAAACAAAAGTTAAGTCCTTTCTTGCTTTGAACTATTTCTGCTAACAGCTGCTCGTGTTTTGAGAAGTTTTTCAGACTATCATTTGATGATACCTACTTGTAGTGTTTTTGTAACTTTGTTGGGATACACAAGATGTTTTAAAGAAATGTGTAAACAGCACAAATGACACCCCAAATTTAAGTTCACCCATGTAGAGTATTGTTAGAAAAGTTGAACTTTCCTGTAGAAAAATCACATTTAGGGCAGCACCATTGAATTCCCCAAATACTTGGAAGGCCACAGATCTCCCTCATTAACTCAGGTCAAAGGTTACTTACGGTCACTTAAGATAACACATTATTTACAATATGTTGAAAGACATTGATCTTACGTCCATTCAAATTTTCAAAAAATATTATTTAATTTTCAATTAGAAACATCCTTCCATACCGGAAAACACTGTCTTGTGATGTGATTTAAATAATTTATATCTTCATGAAAGAAAACAATCCATTCATATAAAAATGTTTCTACATATAGAAGTAAAATATAGCAGCACAAGAAAAAAATAGCTTTACTACCAGATAATTGTACAATAAGAATATAGTGTGTACCATAATGATATATCAAAGAAAGAATGATGTCTAAGAGAAAGAAAGAGAACAGCTTTGCCTAGAAAAGTATGACAACTGAAAGTCTGTTGTAAAAGCTAATCCTCTAGAATAAACCAAACCGTGTTCAGCACTAAGTGTATATATATAACAACAATCATAATGAGTTGTAAAAGTGCCACAATGCCAGTCTATATTGTATTTAATATTCATCATTAAGAAAGAAAAGAATTTTTGGGGGGAAAAATATTGAAATGACACATTATGCACAAGATAGAAACAACACTGTTTTTTGAAACATTTAGCCAAAATGATCTTTTTGGAATATAAATTGTCAGTGGTGCATTAAAACCTATCTTAAACATTTTGTCCAAAATCTTATGTGAAAGATTTAAATATCTTTTAATAAATCTTTCATCAACTAAGATTTTTTTTTATATTAATGGTACAGATTGACTTTCAGTAACATTTTTTTTTTAATTTGTAAAAGTCAGTTTCTTGTTCAATATAGTTGGACATTGTTCGCCGTTACAGTTCCAGGGGAGGTAACTCAATAGGGGGATGATTCTATTGTACATGCACATGGAATCATCTAGCACCAGTCACCTTACCCCGCCATACTTTCGACTGCAACAAGTTCTCACATCGTAACTATAGACCTTGAAAACCAAACAGCAACACATCAGTTTGTCATTCCAACGAACACAAATGTGTCAAGGTTTCACAATGAAACCCTACAGGGCATCACAAACTTAAACACATCCCCTGAGTTATCACATCAAACAACATCTACAAGTATTGCACGTCATACAAACAAAAATGCTCCAAGAATAACACCATCACAAGTCATAATGTTTTCAACCATAAAAGAAAGACAAAACATATGTCTAATGTCATACAAAAGTAAAAATGTACAAAAATATCATCAAACCAAATAAATTTAAAGTTCTGTAATATTTCAAACCATAAACAAATAAAAAAACAAAAACCATTCCAAGTACAATTTCAGACTAGAGTGTAAAAAGCCTAAAGAGTATGAACCTATCACACATCCCAGAAACTTAAATTAAGGATAACATAATTCATAAAACAGTTTTCATGATGGTACATACCCCAAAAATGTATCACAAAGGTGGTAATGTACGTCAAAATCATCGATATAAAAAAAGGTTCTAGACAATCAAAATCATATATAAAATAAAAAAAGACCAATAGGACTGTAATGCTCACCTGTAACTGTTTTGTATTCGATCTATGGCCAAAACCATTTGGGTTCTGATTTGAGTAGTCTCATTTTTAATTATCCCTTGGTCATTCTAAATCTTAAGGGGAAAAAATACAAATACAAATTGATCCCAGGAAATGGCCCCTCCAAGGCTACTTATTTGAAAAAGCTTCAATAACCATATATACCAGGTAATTATGAAATATGAAATGTGTGGTCTTGAAAAGAAATGATGGCATCCCTGGGGTCCCTTTATTTGTGATATTTGGTTCAATGTTAAAATGAAAACATCAGCATTCTTCAGTCCTACAAAGTACTGATTAGTATGCTATAATCTTTCAGCTCTCTAATTTGGCTGAATACTGATGAAAGATGTTAAGAATATCAACCAATTATAATTAGTATTTGCAGACAAAGATTGCTGTGCCATGGCATATATGTCCATTTGGGTTTTCAGCCAATTGCAAAAAATGAAGCTTCGTTTTAAGTAACAAATCAATTGTTTTAGGTAACAGAGTCAATAATAATTATATCTACACATCTTCTGTATTGCAAGCATTTCAAAAACCACTAAATTATATTTTTGTCTATCTTTGGAAATGTATAAAATGTTCTATATTTCATTACCAGTAATACATACTGGTATAAGTTCTAATGTACCTGTAATTAAAGAAAACAGCCTTATGGCTTTATCAATAATAAAGTGGTTATGATCAAAAGAAATTAACGTTTTCCCCATTATACTCACCTGTTGATCATTGACCAGCATGAAATTAAATGTAAAAAAAGAACCATTTCCCAGTGTATTGTAATACATGTACTGTACTACCAGATGAGATTGTATGACAGAGGCTGCCATGGTAACAGGAGATACATTGTATGACAGAGGCTGCCATTGTAACAGGAGGAACATTGTATGACAGAGACTGCCATGGTAACAGGAGGTACATTGTATGACAGAGGCTTCCAAGGTAACAGGAAGTTCATTGTATGACAGAGGCTGCCAAGGTAACAGGAGGTTCATTGTATGATAGAGGCTGCCATGGTAACAGGAGGTTCATTGTATGATAGAGGCTGCCATGGTAACTGGAGGTACATTGTATGACAGAGGCTGCCATGGTAACAGGAGGTTCATTGTATGACAGAGGCTGTCAAGGTAACAGGAGGTTCATTGTATGACAGAGGCTGCCATGGTAACAGGAGGTACATTGTATGACAGAGACTGCCATGGTAACAGGAGATACATTGTATGACAGAGACTGCCATGGTAACAGGAGGTACATTGTTTGACAGAGGCTGCCATTGTAACAGAAGGTACATTGTATGACAGAGGCTGCCAAGGTAACAGGAGGTTCATTGTATGACAGAGGCTGCCATGGTAACAGGAGATACATTGTCTGACAGAGGCTGCCAAGGTAGCAGGCGGTACATTGTATGACAGAGGCTGCAATGGTAACAGGAGATACATTGTATGACAGAGGCTTCCATTGTAACAGGAGGAACATTGTATGACAGAGACTGCCATGGTAACAGGAGATACATTGTATGACAGAGGCTGCCAAGGTAACAGGCGGTACATTGTATGACAGAGGCTACCAAGGTAACAGGAGGTTCATTGTATGACAGAGGCTACCAAGGTAACAGGAGGTACATTGTATGACAGAGGCTGCCATTGTAACAGGAGGTACATTGTATGACAGAGGCTACTAAGGTAACAGGAGGTACATTGTATGACAGAGGCTGCCATGGTAACAGGAGTATTGTATGACAGAGGCTGCCATGGTAACAGGAGATACATTGTATGACAGAGGCTGCCATGGTAACAGGCGGTACATTGTATGACAGAGGCTGCCAAGGTAACAGGAGGTACATTGTATGACAGAGACTGCCATGGTAACAGGAGGTACATTGTATGACAGAGGCTACCAAGGTCACAGAAGGTACATTGTATGACAGAGGCTGCCAAGGTAACAGGAGGAACATTGTATGACAGAGGATGCCATGGTAACAGGCGGTACATTGGATGACAGAGGCTGCCATGGTCACCGGAGGTACATTGTATGATAGAGGCTGCCATGGTAACAGGAGGCAAATTGTATGACAGAGGCTTCCAAGGTAACAGGAGGTAAATTGTTTGACAGAGGCTGCCAAGGTAGCAGAGAGGCTGCCATGGTAACAGGAGGTGCATTGTCTGACAGAGGCTGCCAAGGCAACAGGAGATACATTGTATTACAGAGGCTGCCAAGGAAACAGGAGGTACATTGTATTACAGAGGCTGCCAAGGTCACAGGAGGTACATTGTATGATAGAGGCTGCCATGGTAACAGGAGGTACATTGTATGACAGAGGCTGCCAAGGTATCAGAAGGTTCATTGTATGAGAGGCTGCCATGGTAACAGGTGAATGTATTACCTGCCAGTACTTGGAGCAGACAATAAGAACTGTCCTCTGGTTGAACGGACAGCAGGCAAGAGTCTGGGCATTTAGACATTTAATCTGTTTAGATTCATCCTCATATACAGGTTGAGTCTGAAAGATAAAACATTTCATTTATGTTAAAATTAATGGAGCTTGGATACTATGATATCTATTACTATTAGTTAAGTCAAGGAAGTCAATACCACAAATATTTCTGTGCAATATGCATGTATTCAACTAGAAAGTAAACTCCTACTACCCAGTAGGTGTATAGGAAACAAAATTCATTTATTTTCAAACTTAATTAGCTGAATACACTAACAGATCTAAGGTGAATGGTAATTTAGATATGAAAACTTTTACATCACGATGAAGTTGTGAAAGTCTAAGCAAATTCAAGGAAATCTGACATCTGGAAATTGTATTAAAGAATAAATAGAAACTAGACAGATCATTGCATGACTTACTCTATTCTCAGATCCCATCAGACTCCAGACCTTGACCGCTCCAGAGTTGGAGATAGCCACAATGACATCATCTACAACATCATCTAAAACCATAAGTCACAAAGTGTAACATTATCAATTAGCAAAATCTACTTGATCTAGCTATAGATCAATGTAACCAGGAAAACTTATAAGGAATAATAGAATCACTCACCCCCTTGGGGTTGAGAGATTCTTTTTTTCTTACCCTGTTTTCCCATTGTGTATCATATACACAATGTAATGATAACGTTACATGCTAAATTCAGGGTTGACGTGACGTTGATGAATCGTTGTGGAGTGACGTCAAGGAAATCTCACCGGTTCAAGTGCGGATACACTTTTCCAGGGTAAGAGAAATATTAATCTCTTCCATTGTTCTTCATTCTTTGGTACATACCTGTACTGGCAGGTAATTAAACATCAAATCCGATGAGAACTAAAATTCCCCTATTTGGTGGAAATGGAGCTAACACATAAACTAACCAAAGAAATGGAGTTAAATGTGAATTCTATCAAAGTCAACAAGTAGAAAATATGGCTCACACCGACCTACATTAGTGTCTTGATGAAGAACTCCTCAAGATAAACCCACATATAAAGTTGGATGACTATTGGACGTCTAGAATTAGAATAATGAAGCTAAATGTCAAGACTAACATGGATGTTGCCCGGCTCTACGTCTACGTTAAAATAGGTGATCATCTCATCATGGGCTGTCCAGAGATTTACAATACTTTTATGATATATAATGTAATTAACTTTAACACTCAATCAACAAGTCGGATGGAAGATGGCCCTGTCATGGGAAGTCAAACCCAAATCTACCAGCAGACTTTTCAAATGCTCTTAATCAGAGCCAATTAGTGCTGGAGCAGGGTATTACCTTGTCGCTTCACTGGTCGCAGAACACAGCAGGCACTGATCCAATCTGGAGCAACTTTGGAAGACAGAGAGTAGATCTTCTCAAATGTTAAAGGGTCGATAATCAAAATCTCTGGGTAGTAGCCATTACATACTAGTCGAACATCCTTTCTGAATTGATAAGCCTGTGCAAGAAACAAAGGACTCTTTGATTTTTGTATCATTCAATAGGTCAAGTAATAAGAATATGTTATTTGTATAAAGTATTGGTTTATAAGTACATGTGCTGTATTCTGGTACAAGAATGTATTGATTATTTCGGAACAATCTGCCAAAGAATGTCAAAACCAAAAATGTTTTGAAAGATATTCTATTGATACCATTTACCAATCAGATTGCAGATATCGCTGAACATCAAGTTGTAACCAAAGAGCTAGGTTTTGCGGTATTATGTATGCTTACTTTCCTTACAATCTCATCAATACTAAACAAGTCGTCTGGAAACCGTTAACCAGGAGACACTGATGCAGACATAAAATGACAGTTCATAATTTTGAAAATAAAATTAATATGCTGCCCAAAGTAGCTATATAGGTGACATAAAAAGTCCATTTTATCACCAAATTTGAAGCTTTTTGTGCAATTTGATATGTGTTCTTTTAACTTAAAAAAAACAAGATGTTTTTCAAGCAAGATTATTGAAAACAGAATGATTGACCTCTTTACCTGCATGTTAGAATGGATGAAAGACATCTTGGTACACTCCACACAACGACCATCAGTGATGTCCCACAGACACATCTCCCTGTTCATTAAACAATCATTGTAATTAGCACATTTACAGTACCAAACACACATAACTGCTGATTGTTTATGTTTTGGAAAGGTTATTTATCAATATAAAATATGGTAATTAAATCTGTGTTTAACTTTAAATACATGAATTTGTAAACATTTGTATTTATTTTGGTGTTTTGTAATGAAAATTGTAATGATGGGAATCAGTTTCATTGATATTTAATTGATATTATAATGTATAAATATCAGCTGTTGTTGTAGTCATAGAACAGTCTACTTATGTTCTTAAGCAATCACAAAAAGAATGTAGGTTGGGATAAGAGCATTGTAAATATGTATAGGTAATAAGTACTAGATAAGCGTACTCTACAGTCTACTGGGGATACCTGTTTTCTGAAACAATGTCAATATGAGGAAGAACGAGATACGATGTCAGCTAGCGGTATGTTCAGTAAAGTTCATCTTACCTTAGTTGATGGATGCCTGAATGGAATTCACAGCCATAAGAGTAATCAAAATCAAGTGATGACCAGACAGCATCAAATAGGGATTCTCTGCAAATTTAACTCATTCACCCCTGAAATTTCTCAATGAACTATTCCAACCTTTGAATTGGAAGAGTTCATATGTGTCTTCAGGGGCGAATGAGCTAATCCAGTTAACACTTTTCTGCCCATTAAGTGGGTCATTCTCAGAACTATGTTACTAACTGGATTAAAGTTGCCAAAACTCCACATTTATGTTGTCTGGTCAAGTCTTCTTCTGAAGGTCAACATGAGATGGTTTGTATATATGTAAGCATTATATACTTGTAGCTATACATCTAACTAAGTGTCTAGTCATTTTAGAAGAGATGAAAAATCAGGAACATATGCATTCAAAGGTAAAACTGAATATGTAGTGTGGGATTACCCATTCTCTGAAGCGCTAACAATATAAGGTAGGTTAGGATGAGAACTGCCAAGGGCCAGGCAGCTGATGGCTGAAGTATGTCCAAACAGCATACTACGAGGGTAGATCTGAAAGTACAATTACAATATTACATGGAAGTTTAACGATAGGTAAATCAAATTGTCACCCCCAAATCTTATTTTAGGGTCAGACTGAAGCTGAAGGTCTATATAATAAACTTCTTTTTGTAGACTTAATCAATTCAAAATATTAACTATCATATGACCATAAGTATTAAGCAATATTTATTATAATATCTAAACTTAATCTTCAATTAAACAAAAAGTAAATAAGTAATGTGAACATGTTATGTTAATTTTGGCAGAAGGAGAACTGACTCACACACAGAATTTCTCTTTAGCTCATTCGGTAGAGCGTAAGACTAGTAAGCCAGAGATACCGGGTTCGACTCCTACCGAAGGCATTGAAAAAATAATGACCTATGTTACATTTTTCTTGGACCCTCATGATCAGTAAATATAGGTCTGTCCATGACCACCATCCACTCCATAAATGTAGCTAACTCTTGTTTAAAACTACCACCTATCCATAGCTATCACCCGTCTATAACTACCACCTATCTAAAACTACCACCGGTCTATAACTACCACCTATCCATAAATGTAGCTACTACCTGTCTATAACTACTGATATCACTTTTCTTGCACCTCAGACAGAGATATCCTATGTCATACGTATACCCTATGCAAGATTTTTCTATCTCGTTCGATCTGTCTTGTACCTTTACGTGACATTTCGCGGATTTTTTACACTGCGATGTATTCATCCGCGCGTTAACTGCTTGAAATTGACAATTTGCATTATAAATGTCCCGTTTCGTCGTTATATGTATAATTTTGATGTTGTTAGATATTTGATTTTGTAGAAAAAATATAATCTACACTGTGAAATACGTTGAAATTTATGTAAGGGCGGACTACATTTTTATGCGGTGCATTCAAATGTAGCGTTAGTAGTGAAGAGGTCATTATCATTTGAGACACAAGGCGGGATAATTGTAGTTTTTTAGCAAAATTGAATAGTTCTTTTCAAACTAAAAGGTGCGAGAAAAAAAATCAATTATCTGTAACTGAGTGAGATCAGGTTATCTCAGTCTCGGGCTAAGATTCTGTAACATCCCAACCTTGGCTTACGCCTCAGTTTGGATTTTGATACAGAATCTTAACCCTCGATTGAGATAACCCGATCTCGCTCAGTTACAGGTAATAGATTTTATTAGTCTATAGCTACCACCTGACTATTATTATTATTTCATATGTCCATAACAACTGTTTTAATCATTCATAAAAGTTAATGTTAATCAGGCATATTTGTTTATTAGTTTCTGAAACAGTATAAATTAACTTTATATGCTTTGATAATTACCAAAAGTGAAGAAATTATATATATTGATGATTCATATTAATTAACACATGTAATACCTAATACATAAAAAAATGAAATCTCACCTCCCAGTTTTTTGTGACATCCCAAATAGCAATTTGTCCATCATTGCAGCCAGTGATGATGTTGCGCTGGTCGGGTGTCATCAGTACTGTTGAGATACAGTGGGTCGGGGCATTCCTCCCCCATAACACCATGGGCACCACTAAGTTACTACCACCAGTCATTTTCACACCTGTAACCAGTATTTCTTTATTACCACCTATAGCATGTGTTACTAGTTTTTGTTTCAAGATACAACGCTTTAATACATTTTTTAAACTTAAGAAAGGAAATATTCAGGAAAAATTAAATTCATAACAGATGTTCCAGAGGTGTGAAATTAAAATTCATATTATGTTACAGTTGTGGGATCTCACATCGTTACAGGATGTGCGGTGTGCGCACGGTGTGTGCACAATGTGTGAACGATACAAAGTTGGACGATCATTGATTGTGCACATTTGTGTGCACGATGGACAAGTGTTGTGCGATAACAATCGTGGTAGGTGTAAATTGAAAAATGCCTTAACAATAAAAACGTTTTCGTGTTAAAAAATATAAACTTGATTTTTACTATGTTTCTATATTCTACCTACATCTATAAGCTTATCTTTATATCTATACTTTCTTATATTTAGAAATTGTGTTTTCACAACACAGTCCTGTATACCTCCCGGGGCGCTTGCGTACTATACATCGTCGGGTAGGGCCAGGGGTGTGAAAACACAGGTGAAGGGGAGCCATGGCCAAACCGAATGCAAATAACAAATATTAAATGTCCAGTTGTGATACTTTATCACATATCAGCTCTATGTGTCAGGTACAGGCCAGGTAAAACTCCGGTCAATCATCAAATAGTTATTTACCTGTTCTGTTACCTTGGAACAAAACCCATTCATGACAGTCTGACGGTCACTGTAATGCTGTGTTACACACATTGTAAACCTGTACATAATCTTCATTACTGTGATGAGAAATTACAGTAATACATACAGTTTTCATTATTGCATGTATAGGAGCTTTCCGTATTATTTTCATTTCGCAATATTGATGTGTACAAATTGTACCCAATCGCACAGGTGTGCGGAGAGAAGTGCACAACGGGGAGAACGATTGTTAAATCGCACAGTTGTGTGCACCATGTGTGCACCATGTGCGGATGGTGTGCGCACGCTATGTTTGGTGCGTTGTGCGGTCACACAACTGTATATCTGTTTAGTTACCGACAGCTTCAAATGTATGTACATTTCTACTTCTATGTTCAGAAATGATAAATTATTAACTGAAGAATTCCAATGTGTTATAGTTTGCCTTAGTTTCCTCAGGTCCCCAACACTTCAGACACCAGACATCTAACTGGCAAAATGTGACTCAAGTCTAGATCTGATCTGGTGTTGGGGCCAGAGGAAACTTGCAATATGTGTTAGTTTATGGACCAATCTCATCTGAAAAGATTATATTATTTATATAATATAAACAAATGCTATGTTCTGTACTATTTTTTCTCATTAAGTGTGCTTTATACATTTTATATAAGTACCTACGTATACGTGTACATGTTAGGTGTCAGCAAATCTAATTAATCTGCATAGATTCTATATGTAAATTTAAGTGAAAATAATAACGAGCTTAAAAATCTACAGGTACACTGTATAACGTACAATCTAATTAAAATAATTAACATTGATTAGTTGTGAGGCTACTGACGAACAATATTATAAAAATGTATGGTGACAGTGATTGAATAGGCTTAATTGCATCACATACACATACTATGTGTTTATTTTCACAATAATTTGTTCAGTTGACCATGAAATTAACTGTCGTCCCATAGTACATTTACAGTGAATCGAATTTAGACGACTTGCCTCAGGCTGTGTCTTAGAGTGAACAGGAAGTACGTACAGACAAACGACTGCCAGGCCTGGATAAAAATAGTCACTGAACAACAACTTCTGCAAACTCTACAAATAAATTAATATATTTCTGCTATCGTTGTTGACCAAGTACAAAATGTCTGTCCATATTGAATTTGACACTTGCACACACCACCTAGACCGCACTGACCATGATAACGCATCTTTACAGGCCCAAAACAAACTATTTCGAGATGAAAATTTGCAATAGAATGCTTAGCTCTAACATTCAATCAAAGATTATATAAATGGCACTCACCTTGACGAATAACGGACACAATCAAAGGTATTCCTGTCAAACTCTCATCGTAAATCAATACTGTTTTGCTAAGCAGCTGATTGTCATAATCACGAATGTTGCCGAATAACACTTCCGGTACAGAGTTATTCCGAGAAGGTCAAGTAGTCTGCAGAAGAAATACAGAATAAACCAAAGACATCAAATCACATGATTATTAGAATAATAGACTTTATCGTTTATTTGTTTGATTCGAGTTTGATGGAAGATCTTTTTGTTACGGTAAAATAATTTGTTAAGGAAACTTGCGTATTAATACGAAGGGAGTTAATTTTCTACTTTCATTTTGACACGAAACCTGTGGTGGCACACTACTAATAAAACCAACAAGAGATGTGGATAAAAGTTTTTCTCCCTACAGATCCCGCTACAAAGCATTGCCACAAATTTATATCCATACTCATTATATAAATAATAATTATTTTCTGAATATTTTAAATCAATCTGCATGTTTTCGGGGATGTAATCAGCAATACATTTTCTATTTTTCGAACAGACGGTGCCTTCAGTTCAGTTCAGTTCATGCAGTAGGTTGCATTTTCTCCGTTTATTTTTCGGATCACCCAAAGTAAAAGATACTTTGGTAGGTTGTGTTGGCTGGCACTCACAAGTAGTCGTTGGTCCCAAGGCGAATATCAGGTTAACTATGTACACAAATTTCAGTTTTCTATAGGGTATATTTACACTTGGGGTTGATACATATGTGTCCCCATCTATTGTTTGGGTGATTTAATAAGGCAAGCACGTAGTCTTAATCTATATGTATGTATATTCTACAAGAATTCTCTGGTGTAAAGTTCCAGTTCATTTAGCTGTTCCTGTTTTGGTCTGAGATTTATAGGAATACCCGGGTGGCTGCAGTCTAAGACCAGATATGTAAGGATCTGATAGTGAAATGTCTTCAGTTTGTAGATCCAGTAAGTTTGCTACTTTGTGATTGAAGGTTTCCCTTTGTAAATCGAATTTATGGCATTCCGCTATGGAGTGTTCCCTGGTTTCAGGTTTCAATTTGCACATTTTACACGTGGGATAAACTTGGTACTGATTGAATTTGGCTCTATTTGATTGGAGAATGTAGGTTCCCGTCAACAGTCTAGCTTTTGTTTCCGCTCTTTGAACATCATAGATATTTGGTCTCACAATAGAATATATTTGATGTGGTTTTCCCATTTTGACAGCATCCGAGTTAAGATATTTAAGTGTAGATTTTGATTCAATTTCATTTTTCCATTTTGTTTTAACTCTGTTGTTTATGGCTTGCATTTGAAGGACTTTCCATTCATGTTTTGATGGTGTTCACTGAAGGAGTTGATATATTGAAGGGTATCCATACAATAAAAGTATTTGGCGCGTTTTTGAAAGTATGCTCTTGTCACAGATGTCTTTCACAGCGATCTGTCTTAATGTTACTTCATATTCAATAGACTCCGGCCTAAGGAGAATGCTGTGCACTATATTTAACAAGTTCTTGTGTATTATGACAGCAGTAGGTAGGATACCAAGTAATGCAGGCACGGCTACGTTTGCTCTTCTATCCAGTAGATGTTATAAGTAATTTTTACATCAGGAGATGTCTTTCGTTGGGAGGGTTTCTGGATAGAAAAGAGTGCATATCACCACACATAGTAACAATGCATGTGTACTAGAGAATGTATGTATGATTTCTGCTATCTCGTCTAAGGTATCTTTAAAGTCTGACTTTAAGTTGTTACCTCCTGGTGGCATGTATCTGCTTACTATAGATCATTTTGGTTCAGTTTGAAGTTCCAGTACGGTTATTCTATCGCCACCATATGGATGTTTGGTACAACTAACGTCCCATTAACGTTTTTCCTATACAATATGGCTGATCCTCCATATCCTTTCGGAATCTGGACTAGGAGTATATGATTATCTGTATCCGCAGCCTTGCTATGTGCGTTGTGCTGGTCTGACAGGGTTTGTAGCTTCTCGAGTTCGAAATTGAACAACCAGTGTTCCTGAAGACATATTATATCCTGTTTCCTTTAGTAGGTTCTGTAAGTAAAGTTGGTTTTGTTTTAGCATTTTTAACGTTGAGTGTTTTTACAATGATCTCCGACGGTTTGTCGTCGGCTGGTTCGTATCTTATTTGTTTGTTGTCCGGCCTTGGCCTAAAAAAGGCTTGTCCTGAGTTCTTTGGGTAGGGGTTTCTTTCTTCAGCGGGCTCGTGTCTATTTGGTTTGTATCTATGCCATCGCATAAAAAAGGCTGGTCCCGAGTTCTTTGGGGGATTGTGTCTTCCTTTGGTGGTGGAGGTTTTTGATGTTTTTCTTGATATTGGATATTTATTTCTTCCCTAAGGTTTGACTTCGGTAGATAACGTTTGTTTTTATCTTCAAATCTCACTATTTTTGGCGTAGAGTCCATTGAGGTTTTCGAGTTCGATTTAGGATTGCCTGCAGTAACCTTTCCTATTATTAGAGGACCAGTTGCTAGGTCGAGGAGAGATGGAATCTTTCTCTTTGTTCCGATATTTGTTTTGTCACTATGAGAATAATTTCCAGAGATGTGAAGGTTTGTCCGACTAAACATATGCTCTGCTCGCGATTTATGGATAGTAGGAGGCATCGGTTGGTTCATACAAGTTTGGTCGAATGTTGTTGGTATTGGAGGAGGCGGTATCTGTGTATTGAGTTGGAAGTAAACCTGTAAATGAAGGCTGTGAAGGTGGTGGAGGTCTATTTATCCCCGTGGTGATGGTTAAAGTACGGATGGTTTATTAAAAAGAAAGTCATTGAAAATATCCCGCTTGCGTCCCAATGAAAGCACACACAAATGACCGTCCCTCGTTATTGCCTCGCATCACTTCACGCGATTTCCTGCAGTAAATCAAATCCAACTAAAACAACCCTTTCCCGACCCTATCTTACCCTATTGTTCTCCACAGAGCAACCCTCGGAATAAGACAATATCGCTATAATTGGATAATTGGCGATTTTGATATCAGACGGGAGTCATTGTGTTTCCAGGTGCCCTTGTGAAAACTCAGGAGAGTTCAAATACATGACCTTGCATCGGAAATGCATTCCGCCGTGACATCGTAAACGTAGTACACAAGCGGTGTCCGGGGGCTAAATTTACCTGTAACAGTTGCTCTAGAAACAGTTATCGCCAACGGTTTTTTCTATTGTCGACAGTAATTTAAATAAAAGCCCCACATCGACATTTTCGCCAAGAGCAGTTTCGAACCGCCAATCATGTTTTACTTTCGCCAGTGTCGATCGCCAGCGCAAGCCCTGCACTATTTGATACCACGGACTTAGATCTAACATAATTCTGTGATGATACACATACATTTTTTCCTTATTAAATTTACTTTAATACTTTCAACAACATGTTTTCTTCCAGGAAACAAAAAGAAACGCGCCGGTACACCATACTACCTGTGTTAGTTGGAGGATTGGTTATAAATGCCCTTTGGCCACGACATTCACAGGTAACACCTCCGAGGTAATTAGTTCACCTGTTAACTCACAGGTAGGTATCGTAAATGCCCTTTGGCTATAGTATAAAGTGGCAAGAACTACAGGTTATTAATATACCTTTTAATTTACAGGTAAGATATTTGGGTGTGTAAACTGTGTATTACTATCCCTCAGCTAAAAGTTACAGTGTACATTGAATGTAGTTGATGCAGGTACAGAATTAGATTTCCGTGATTCAGGATTGAATCAGAGACGTATATATTACAGAGATTGGCAACTTGCTCTTTACCTTACCATTGGTCACGGTAAACGGATGTCATATCGCGAGTCACGCTTCATCTGCGCCAAATTGGATATCCGGTTCGCTGCATTCAATAATCCTTTTCTGTTCAAAACATAATTGTGCACAGTTTTATAGTTTAAATTGACATATTTATCGATTATAAAACAAACATGTATTTCAAAACACCTGGTCGAATAAATTACAAACACGACACAGCTTTATACAGATCAATCGATTATGTATCAAAGACGTATTACAAAACATCAGGTCGAAGTTAATAACAAGTATTTCAAAACACCAGGTCGAAGTAAATTACAAACACGGCACAGTTTTATAGTAAAAATTGACATATTAATCGAGTATAAAACAAACTTGTATTTCAAAACACCAGGTCGAAGTTAATTACAAACACGGCACAGTTTTATAGTTTAATTTGACATAATAATCGAGTATGTACATAACAAACATGTATTTCAAAACACCAGACCGATGTAAATTACAAACACGGCAGTTTTGTAGTTTAATTTGACATATTAATCGACATAACAAACTTAACATGTATTTCAAAACACCAGGTCGAAGTAAAATACAAACACGGCACAGTTTTATAGTTTCAATTTGACATCTAAATCGAGTGTTTGATGAACACGTATTGGAGATCATCAGGCCGAATAAAGTACAAACACGACACATTTATTTAGATATATTTTTATTACAAATCGAGTAATAAGCAAACACATATTTCAACAGACAGCCGAAGTAAATTACAAACACGGCACTGTTACATAGTTTAACTTTGATACATAAATCGAGTGTTTAAAACAAGTATTGCAGTTCATCAGGCCGAATAAAGGTACATCAGTGTCATAGTTTTAGAAGTAAACAATTACAGTCGATGATCATTTCAATACAGTAGCCACACAACATCTTTTTATATAATAATCGGTTATTTATTACAAATCAAACTTATGTCGATGAAAGAATGACTATAACAATGATAACGAGGCGATTGTTTCATTTCAAAGCAACTACAACCAATGAAAACATACACAACTAAGTTAACAGGCGATTCTTATTTCAAGTAAAAAACATCGATTTTAAAACATTTAACGGGTGTAAATATTTCCGAAACAACATATTTACGTTTGATAAAAGTATGACGAGAACATCGTATAAATGATTNATTGAAAAACAACATAATTACGTTCAAAGAAAGTATGTATTGTAGAAAATGATTGTTGGCAATAAAGATATGAACTCAACATAATCCATTATTTATTATTAGAATTCTGTCGATAAAGTATGACCAGAACATTTCAAAACGCACTGA